CCTGTTGTTGATTACCTGATGTGTTTCAGCTGCTTGTTTGCCTGTGTATATATTGTCCTCAGTTGTATTCAGTGTTTTCGACGTCCTCGTCTGATGTTGAGTGTTCTGCTTTGCTCCTAGTTCTTTATTCAGTGTTTTGGATTTCCCCGTTTACCTTGCATTACCTTTCTTTTGGATTTGCCTTGCGCTCTACAGAAGCCTGTGCAGTTAAGTTTCGTTTATATAAATATTTTATGTTGAACTGAATCCTCATTCCTGTTTCCTCATTCTGCATTTGGCTCCACACCCTACCTCCTGCCACTGCACTCAACTACCCATGACAAAATGCTTTATACATGCTGGTTTCTTTTAAAAATGCATAAGAATGAATATATTGCCAACCTCTTTCACATATAACTCCAAATCCTTCAACCCACTATAATTTAATTATTAACCAGAATTCCAAATTAATAGTTTAGTATATTTAAGGAGACTGAATTATGTAATTGGCCATCACTTTCTCTTGTTTCAAGAGTGGTGCCCCGAGGTGAACGTAACCGTAAGTTATATTTTATTGTTAATTATTCAATAATAGTAAAAATCATTTATTACATTATTTAACATACATCTTGATGCCATCTAAACCCTAATCTCCAACACCCATATGTTCACTCGCAGTAAAACTTCTTCAGCACTGCAATTCAAACATTTTCAACATATGATCATCATATAGCGGTATGGTTCTAAACTTTCTTAGTTCTGAAAAGCATCGGTTTGCTAAGGTGATTATCTGGTCAAGAACATGGTTTTAAACAGAAAAGAGATTCTTATTCGGTTTACCGAATAAGGGTTATTTTCTATAAACACTGTTTCCCATCGGTGTTAATCACTCGTAATAAATAGTTGTATTTCATTTTGACATTGTTCAGACACAAAGTCCAGTAAGCAGCCCAGACCCTGAAGACCAACATCAGACTGTGAGAGGACAGAAAAGGTTCACCTGACTGCTGTTCCTGCAGGTCACTGTCTGTGAGATGCTCTTCTCGTGCCCAGAAGGAGACTTTCCTCTTCATCCTCTAGAGTTGTAAACACTGACACTCGCTTTCACCTTTGACAAAAGAGTGAGGCGGGGTCCTGCTTTATATGCGGGCCCCTACTGTCACTTTTGGTGTAGTGGTTGAAAGTTTTGGACCCAAATGCAGGACTCAAAGCAGAGCAGGTACAGTTCAGAGGTTTGTTAAGAAACTTAAGGCGAGCACACTTACAAGGCAGAGTGGCTGAGCTGAGGCTTTCCAAAATAAACAAGGTGATCCAACAGAAATCCAAAATCCACAGAAACGAGCAGGGCGAACGATCAGGCTGAATACATCCACACAAGACACAGCATTACAAACTAAAACAACGGGATGGGGGCTGAACCAATATTATGTAGCTGCAGTACCTGAGGCTGCAGTTACAGGACCGTTGTAGTGTTGCGACAGCGCCGTCTAGTGGAGTGGTGGTGGTAATGCACAGCAACACGAAGGAGGTTAACCCCGTCTGCCAGCAGCTGTAGGGTTGACCAGTCGACATGCATATAATCAATAACTTAAGTTTAGGTACACACGGAGATGGTTGTGGTGAGGGTAATTGGCTTCGGGGGGGGGGGGCTTTCAAGAGTAATATAGCTATCTAGCTGGCATCAAAGTAAACAAGGGTCCTAGAAATGCAGTTCCCATCCTAGGACTGCAGCTACATACTACTCGACTGAACAGAAACTTCAAACATATATACATCAGGGACTAACGAGCAGGCGTGAGCAACACAGGCAGGCAGATTACTGAGGGGGTACAGACAGAACACAGGTTACTGGACACAAGAGAAGAAACAAACTGGAACATAGAAGAGACTAAAAACTAATCACACAGACTACAAATGTAACCGGGAAAACAGACTGAACTAAGAACAGAACACAGAGCAGCAAAATAAGCACAAACACTGAAGTACAGGGGAGAGTCTGAAACAGTTTGTGTCTGGGGTGGGAGGAGTCAGCTGCAATCTTTCCTGCTCGCCTCAGAGTCCTGGAGGCGTACAGGTCCTGAAGAGAAGGAAGATTGCAGCCAATCACCTTCTCTGCAGAGCGAATAATGCGCTGCAGCCTGCCCTTGTCCCTGGCGGTGGCAGCAGCGTACCAGATGGTGATGGAGGAGGTGAGGATGGACTCAATGATGGCGGTGTAGAAGTGCACCATCGTTGTCTTCGGCAGGCTGAACTTCTTCAGCTGCCACAGAAAGTACATCCTCTGCTGGGCCTTCTTGGTGAGGGAGGTGATGTTCAGCTCCCACTTGAAGTCCTGGGAGATGATGGTGCCCAGGAAGCAGAAGGAGTCCACAGTGGTGACTGGGGAGTCACACGGGATGATGAGGGAGGGTGGGGCTGGGCTCTTCCTGAAGTCCACGACCATCTCCACTGTCTTCAGAGCGTTGAGCTCCAGACTGTTCTGGCTGCACCAGGTCACCAGATGGTCGATCTCCCACCTGTAGGCGGACTCGTCCCCACCTGAGATGAGCCCAATGAGGGTGGTGTCATCTGCAAACTTCAGGAGCTTGACAGACTGGTGTCTGGAGGTGCAGCTGTTGGTGTACAGGGAGAAGAGAAGGGGGGAGAGAACGCAGCCTTGATGGGAACCGGTGCTGATGGTCCTGGAGTCAGAGACATGTTTTCCCAGCTTCACGTGCTGCTTCCTGTCCATCAGGAAGTCAGTGATCCACCTGCAGGTGGAGTCAGGCACGTTCAGTTTCGGGATGATGGTGTTGAAAGCAGAGCTGAAATCCACAAACAGGATCCTGGCGTAGGTTCCTGGGGAGTCCAGGTGTTGGAGGATGTAGTGAAGCTCCATGTTTACTGCATCATCAAACGAAGCGAACTGCAGGGGGTCCAGGAGTGGGTTTGTGATGGTTTTTACGTGGTACAACACAAGGCGTTCAAAGGACTTCATAACCACAGATGTCAGGGCGACAGGTCCGTAGTCGTTTAGTCTAGTGGTCCTTGGTTTCTTGGGGACAGGGATGATGGTGGAGACTTTGAAGCAGGCTGGCACATGGCATGTCTCCAGTGAGGTGTTAAAAATGTCTGAACACCGGAGACAGCTGATCAGCTCAGTGCTTCAGGGTGGATGGGGAGACAGAGTCCGGCCCAGCTGCTTTGCGGGGTTTCTGCCTCCTGAAAAGACCGTTGACTTCCCTCTCTGTGATGGAGAGAGGAGGGGAGGGGGTGGAGCTGGCCAGCTCTGAGGAGGGAGGGGAAGAAGTGGTGGCCTGAAGCTGAGCGGAGGAGTCACAGGGGATGGTGTCCAACTGACTCTCAAAGCGGCAGTAGAACTCGTTCTGCTAATTTGCCAGGCGAGAATCGTTTATGGAGTGGAGGACTTTGGGTTTATAGTTTGTGATCTGTCTGAACCCCCTCCAGACAGAAGTGGCGTCGTTTGCAGAGAACTGGTTCTTTAGTCTCTCTGCGTACAGTCGTTTAGCTTCTCGCACCTCCCTGCTACACCTGTACTTTAACGCCTCCTTTTTTAACCTTAGCTGTCTGAGCTTAGCTGTGAACCAGGGTTTGTCATTGTTATAACTCATCCTGGTCCATGTTGGAATGCAGCTGTCCTCACAGAAGCTGATGTAGGACGTCACAGCCTCTGTAAACTCATCCAGATTGTTGGTTACCTTCTTGAAAACATCCCAGTCAGTGCAGTACAAACACGCCTGGAGGTCCTCAATAGCTTCACTAGTCCACTTCTTTGATGTCCTCACTACAGGTTAACAGAGCTTTAGTTTTTACCTGTAAGCAGGGACCAGATGGACCATCACGTGATCAGAGTGTCCCAGTGGAGCGCGTGTGACGGCGTGATAGGCACTGCTAACTGTGGTGTAGCAGTGATCCAAAGTGTTCCCCTCTCTGGTTGGACACTTTATAAACTGTCAGTATTTGGGGAGTTCTTGGCTGAGATTTCCCCCGTTAAAGTCACCGAGAATAATAAGAAGGGAGTCTGGGTTTCTCTGCTCCACACACAGTATCCAGTCGGCCAGCACGCTCTGTGCGTCCTGAACGTTTGCGTGCGTAATATAAAAACAGACACCTCCACCTTTTGTTTTGCCGGAGAGTTCTGTGTCGCGGTCCGCTCTGTACAGTTAGAAGCCAGCCAGCTGCAGCGCGGAGTCCAGTATCAGCTCAGACAGCCAGGTCTCCGTGAAGCACAGAACAGAAGATGAATAAAAGTCTCACCACCCGAAGCTGAAGTTCGTCCAGTTTGTTGCACAGTGAGCGCACGTTGGAGAGAAATATTGCCGGTAGCGGCGTGCGGAGTCCCCGCTGGCGACGACGTACAAGCGGCCCGGCTCTTTTCCCTCTCCTGCGGCGCTTCACAGCACGAACAACAGCGAGAGAGCCCTTCACCAAAATGTCCAATAATTCCACTGATGACGCAAGAAAAGTGGGAATTAAATCCGCTGGAGTTGTTCCCCTGATGTTCATGAGCTCTTCTCTGGTGAAGGAACTCTGGGAATCACAGCCGAAAACTGAATTAACACACACAAAGCGCAGCGAACACAGAGGCAGCTATACTCAGCGCCATCTTGGAACAAGACTGGACAGGACTGAAATGCAGATACAAAACCAGCCAAACAAGAATCAAAATCCAGCACACAGAGAAACTCAGGACAGGATAGTGACACCGTATAGGACGGGCCGGTTCTGGTTGAGTGTGTTGCGGGTACAAATTCAAACTTTGTTTATATCTACAAAATATAATCAGGCTGATCAATAAAACTATTGAAAACGCTTTCTTTGTTTGTTGTTTTCTTTGTCAGGTAAATAAAGATTCATGTGAATTAACAAATTGTAGATATTCTCTCTCTATGTGCTATACATTTGTTTTTCTTGCATTTTGGAAAATATCCCAACATTTCTGAATATGTGGTTTGTAACTGATGAACAGTTTGAAACACCCGTTCTGTGGTGTCACTGTTTCAGTTGTGCACCATCATGATGAAACCACAGGCTGCAGAGTCTCATCAGGGGGTGTGTGTTTCTGTTTGTTTGGTCAAATACAAACAAACCTCTAAAAGTGAAACCTGAAAACCACCGTTCACTTACTCGAGTACGTCTCTCTACAACGTGACGTCCCTTCGATGTGGATCATGAAGACTGAGAGCAGGTTGGACTTGATGCTGCTGCTCGTTCTTCTCACAGGTACAGGTACTTTAACTTTCTTTAAACTCAACTTTATATACATGCGTACATCATTAAGAATACCAGCATATAAATCTGAGCTTCTGCTGTTACTGATTTCAGCTTCTATCCTCCCTGGAAGTAAAAAGATTAAAATAAAGAGCTTTACATTTAAACTCTGTCTTTCTTTCTGCCTCCACAGTCGGCGAAAGTGACGGCAGCTCAGTTGTTGGTCAAACAGGTCAGAGCGTCACTCTGTCCTGTAAATATGACATCAGCAAACATGGAGCGCAGCATGTCTGCTGGGGTCGAGGTAAATTACCAAAGTTTGGCTGCAGCGACCAGCTCGTCTCCACAGACGGACATAAAGTGATAACCAGAGCTTCCAGCAGGTATCAGTTACTGGGACGACTGGAGGCAGGTGATGTTTCTCTGACCATACTGGACCTCACAGAGACGGATGCTGGACGGTACGGGTGCATGGTGGAGATACCTGGATGGTTCAATAATGAGAAACATCAATTTGATCTGATCATTGAGACAGGTGAGACACTCTTTAAAGGACATAAAGGATTTTTAAAGTTTGTGCTGCTTGAAACAGGAAATGTGACAGACGGCATGTTGAAGCTGTAACGTCTCAGACTTTTATTCAATCAGACAGAGTCTTCAGTGTTTCAACAACTTCACCAGACAAGACGGACGTTTACGGAGGGTGATGGAGAGAAAGAGTTAATGTTATAGAGCAGGTTTCTCTTCTCTCTCAGGCTCCATCACTGATGCATCTTAAAATACAGTCCCCTCCAAAAGACTTGAACGGTGAGGCCACTTCCTTTGTTTTTTTTGTTCTCTGAAGACATTTGGGTTTAAGATCAAAAGATGAGACAAGAGTTCAGAATTTCAGCTTCTATTTCCTGGTATTCACATCTAGATGTGTTAAAAAACTCAGAACATACCACCGTTTGTATTAGACCACAGCGTTCTGAGGTGAGCAACAGTAATGGAACAACTAATCTTAAAGTAAATAACATTTAATATTTGGTGGCAGAACCCTCTCTTGCAATAACTGGCTCAAGCCTGCGACCCATCGACATCACCAAACTGTTGCATTCTTCATTTGTGATGCTATTCCAGGCTTTTACTGCAGCTTCTTTCAGTTCATGTTTGTTTCGGGGGGTTTCTCCCGTCAGCTGATTCACTTGGCTGGTCTAAAACCTTCCACAGTCCTCTGTTTTGTTGGCAGTGTGCTTTGGCTCATTGTCCTGCTGCATGATAAACTTCCTCCCCATTAGTTTCAATGCATTTCTCCGTAAATGTTTCTGTCCACTTCTGAATTAATTCTGCTGCGACCATCATCACTTACATCAGCAATAAATATTACTGAGCCTGTTCTAGAAGCAGCCGTGACATCACCTCCACCAGGCTTCTCAGATGAGCTCGTTTGCTTCAGATCATAAGCACTTCCTTTCTTTCTCCACACTTTGGCCTTTCCATCACTTTGCTAGAGATTAATCTTGGTCTCATCAGTCCATCAGATTGGGTTCCAGAACTATTGCTGCTCATCTCTGTACAGATTTCAGTCTGGCCTTCTGATTCTTGCTGCTGAGTGGTGAGTGGTTTGCATCTTGTGGTGCGGCCTCTATATTTCTGCTCTCCGAGTCTTCTTCCAGCAGTGGATTGTGATACCTTCACTCTGCACTGTGGAGGTCGCTGCTGATGTTTTCTTCACAGCTCTCACCATATTTCTGTCAGCTGCTGTTGTTTTCCTTGGCCGACCTGTTGGACGTCTATTGCTCAGTACACCAGTAGTTTCTTTCTTTTTCAGGACGTTCCAAATTGTTGTGCTTGCTATGCCCAATGTTTGTCCGATGGCTCTGTTCGATTTTCCTTCTTTTCTCAGCTTGACAGTGGTTTGCTTTTCTCCCACAGACAGCTCTCTGGTCTTCATGTTGGTTTATCCTCTTTAACAGGAAATGCAGTCTTTATAGGTTTGAACCAAGGAGGAAAACTTAGACTAGTCATGCAGAGCTATTTAATGTTTGGACAATCAACACCTGGGCAACAAGAAACATCTGTCAGACACATGTTTCAATAGTTTTGTTCACTTGAAAAATGGTTGGGTTCAAACAAAGGGTGGTCGGTCCTGAGTTGTTTAACACATCTAGACGTGAATACCTGGAAATAAAAGCTGAAATTCTGAACTCTTGTCTCATCTTTTGATCTTAAACCCAAATGTCTTCAGTGAACAACAAAAACAAAGTATTTTGTCTTACTGTTCCAATACTTTTGGAGGGGACTGTATATTTAGCTGTAGCTTTTATTAGAAATAGCCCCGTCTTCTCCATGTTACACATTCACACCAGCTTCATCATTTATTAAAGATTAATCTCCTCAGAGACATGAAATCTGAGTAATTTAACTGCTTTTCTTTGTGCATATGACATGATAATTGAGAATATTTATGTAACAAGGTTCTGTCTGAGGGGTTCATGGAGATCCACTCCTCCCTCCTGCCTGTTAAACAAAAGGAGTTCCTTCTGCTTTTCCTACTGAGCAGAAACTTCCTGTATTGTGTAATAACAAACAGTTTGAGAATCTCCAAATTTCAGAAATTCACCACCTGACCTCTCTGTTCTGTCCCACAGCTCCTTTCCCAACCACCATCACAGCAAACAACAAACCCACGGAGGTCGCACGGAGTCGGGAGGTCAGTTATGTTGTTAGGGTAACGTGGGGAAAGAGAGATTTTTTTATAGTTTTTGGTTAAAGTAGTATAATACTAGATTAGTTTGGGGTAGTCTTTGGTTCCAGTTAGGGAAGTGCACTTAGAATAGTGGGCCAAAGGTGCGGGGCTGCAGAGAAAATGGGAAGCTGTGGTTAAGAACTGCAGGATGCTGTTTGTAGCAATGAACCAGAGAACTGTGTGGGTCATTTATGAGACAGCCCTGACGCAGACTGTTTTTTTGTCTTTATTTAACACAGACTTCCACAACAATAACAAAGTCTTACGCTAGCCTAGCAACATATGTGTGCAAAAATATATTAATTCTTCAATATGAAACTCAAAGAAAATGTGTAGCTTTGTACCTCAACTTCAGTAGCTTCAGTAGCTTTATTGTCCCCTTGAAACAGTTGTTTTGTGACTCATATCTGTTGTCTTCTGTACGACTTGCAGCATTTCAGTATTTGCAGTACTTTTTCTAAATGCTGTGTACGTGTTGTCAAAGTGTTTTCTTCATGTGTTTGCATGAGCTTCCAAGGAAACCGTACTTTCAAAGTGTTGCATCAAACACTTGCTCCTCCCACAGAGCGGACAAATCAACACCAAACTGAAACCAGTCGGGCAGTGATCACATTATTCACGTGTTCTGACATGACATTAACAAAAAGAGATGCAGGAGATGCTTTATCCAGAACCATCGATAAATCTAACTGGTCCCAGCTGTGTTTTTCTGCTTAAAACTAAAAGTTATGCTTTTTAGTCTGTTATACAGAGACTCAGCATGTAGCATGAGAGCTGCTATACTTTTCCCATATTGGCTGGGATGAATGAAAATAAACACAGTTAGAAAACGAACCTAAATTCAGATTGCTTGTCTCTTTCAAACCCAGCCACTCCCTCCTGCCATCCTATAAATAATATAATAATAAGTACTGTACACTAGAAACAAGTTCAGGGCTTTAAAAACAAGTAGTACAATTCTAAAACTCACAGCTTATCAGTGAATGGCGATTGGTGCGTGTGGTCACCCGTCTTAGTGGGAGCTAAAGCCTGGTCGCAGCATTTTGAATGAGCTGCAGTCTGTGAATGTTTCCCATTCTAATAGCAGAATACAAAGCATTGCAATATCTGAGTCATGAGGAGATAAATGCATGGATGTCCTTCTCTAAGATCTGATCTTTGTTAGCTGTCTCTGCTAGTACAGGGTGGCGCAATGGATACTCATCATTCCATCGTTCTCATTTCCTTCTTGATCCTACCTGCCTGATAATCTCTTCACCTGCCCCACACCTGCATACGTATGCCTGGTTTCTTAGACATGAGTGCTCAGTGAATCCCTCCATTTTCACTAAGCTGGAACGAATGTTGAAACTCAACATTAATCATCTCTGACTGAAGAGAAGGAGGAGCTGAGCAGTCCAACAGTAATCAGTACCTATATGATGTGTCACTGTTTCCAGAGCCTCATTGGAAACACACTGAGAGTCTCCTTCATCATCATCGTACCTGCACTGCTGCTGATCACCTGTTACAGTCAGTACACACACACACACACACACACACACACACACACACACACACACACACACACACACACACACACGTTTGTCTTACTATCTTCACGGGGACACGACATAATGCATTACCTAGCCACTACCTCCAACCCTTAACCATCACAACTATACTGAACAAAATTATAAAAAAAATTATCCTTTTGCCCCCATTCATCATGAGCTGAACTCAAAGATCTAAGACTCAAATATTGTTCACAAGTCTGTCAAAATCTGTGTTAGTGAGCACTTCTCCTTTACCGAGATAATCCATCCACCTCACAGGTGTGGCATATCAAGATGCTGATCAGACAGCATGGGGACTGCGCAGGTGTGCCTTAGGCTGGCCACAATAAAAGGCCTTAGGCTGGCCACAATAAAAGGCCTTAGGCTGGCCACAATAAAAGGCCTTAGGCTGGCCACAATAAAAGGCCTTAGGCTGGCCACAATAAAAGGCCTTAAGCTGTAGAAGACAAACATCAGCTGTTCTGTTCAGACATGAAGGAGCTTTAGATTCTGTCGCCCTCAAGAGGCCAAATGAGATCATTACAACACAAATATCAGGACAGCCTTTCTGTCACTTTTTAACAGCACAGCTTTAATGAAAAAAGGACAGTTATATAAAAATCACTTATTAATCTATTGATTTAAATGTCTACAGGAGTTTGGAGGAGGAACCAGACTGACCGGAGGCTGAACCAATCAGAGAAGGACACAGAGAGTCTCTAGCGTTGTTAAAGCCTTTTTTTTTTTTTTTATAAATTATTGATGCAATAAATTAAAGTTGTTTCCAGCAAATGAAAATAAAACTGCTTTTTTGAAAAAGTAAAACTCCAGTGTTTTTTTCTTAAAATCAATGTCGTGATAAATTAATTGCTGAATCTGCAGAAAGAAATATCACCAGTGACGGACTACAACATGAATATTGAACATTTAGCGTATTTTGTGAGTTTTACCTAAAGACTCCCTAAGTTATAAAAAGTTAATGGATGAGTAGATTTATTATTATTATTATTTATTTATTTAGTTAAGTTGTTAAAACTTCAGTGTACATGCTCAAATCTGCACAAAATTTAAAATGTATAATAATCGTCCCGCTCATTTTCATTCAATCACTCATTCACTCATACTCATAGCGCCGCAAGTAATGTACTGCCTATGGTTATATTTGTCAGTCTCTGCGTGTGATTGTGAGCGTGTCACTCTGGCTCTCTCTCCTGGCTGCTTACCACCTGCAGCGTCTCTCACCTGTGGCTCATCCAGCAATAAACTCTCTCAGTAAAATACACCGGCTTGTCTTCCAGTCCTCGCCAGATGGTCAGCTTCCTTCTTCTCAGTTCATCTGATCGCACACCGTCTGCCTTTGTTGAAAATAAATCTACCTGAGATGACTGTTCACCTGCCTTGTGTCGGCTCCATGAGTCCATAACAGTAACAGTGAGAGCAAACCATAACAGTACAAACTTGCCAGGAATTGATTCAGCTGACATGGAGACAGACTCCCCAAGGAGCCAGGGAATCCTCAGGCAGACCGACAGGCAGGCTATTAATGACCAGGCTGCCCGTTTTGTTCCCCCAGCTTAGCCACCAGTTCAGACTGAGTCATACGTTCCATTCGCTGGAGAGTTCTCCAAGTGTCGTGGATTTCTGCTTCATTGTGCTATAGTGTTCACCAAACGCCCACTAACTTTGTCTCAGATCAAGCTAAGGTACGTTACATCCTGGGTTTGTTAGTTGGTGGAGCACTAGCATGAGCTGAGCAAGGAAATATTAATACTCCAGTGTCAGTTCTGTCATTGAGGTATATAGAAAGGGACTGTGTGAGAGGGTTAGGAATGTGCAAGACTCATGTGATGATCCAACTAGTCTAATTTCACTCATCTCTCTGTGTATTCCTAACCTAAGCTCCCATCCCGGTGTCCATGCAGTTAGGCCAGGCTCGCCTCTCCTGCTGCCAACGTTCAGGTTCAAGTGCCTCCATTGTGAAATTAAAGGTCTCTTGGTTCAGAACCCCTTATTTTACCAACGTACCCATATAGTATCATGATTTGAAAATAGTTTTTATTAAAGATTTAGTATTATCTCTCCTGCCTCACAGACCACACGACTGTGAAAATTAAACTGCTCCCTGATGCCCCATTCCCATCAAGCAGACTATATATCTCTCTCGTCCTGAAAGGAAAGCCATACAAGTTTACATCCGTGATCTGTTTTCTCCAACTTGGACCTCTGAAACACATTCCACCTGTCCGAATAAAGGAACGAGATAACTGGAAGACCGTGTTCAATACCCCCCTTGGTCACTTTGAGTACCTTGTAATGCCCTTTTGTTTAACTGATGCTCCTGCTGTCTTTAAAAACTCAATGATGTACTCAGACTTGCTGAACTGCTTTGTTTTTGTTTGTCTTGACAACATTTAGATTTCTTCTAGAAGTCTTGCAGAACACATGTCCCCCACCAAGTGCTCCAGCGACTGCTAGAAAACGGATAGTATGTTAAAGCAGAGAAGTGCAAATTCCTCTGGATGTTTTTTGGGATACATCATTGGTAGCAGGCAGATAGTTAAAGGTAAATCCAGGCAAGATCAACACATTTGTGGGATGGCTGGTTCCTACAACAAGAAAACATCTACAACAGCTTTTGGGGATTGCAGATTTCTATCGCAGGTTTATCAGGGACTATAGCAAGGTAGCAGCACCACTGACTAATCTCCATTCAGCCTCCATTTGTTTGGTCTCCGATCTCCTTAGAACAACTGCTGCCTCACTGAGTACAACAAGGTCAGACAGTTCAAAAATATTCCATTGAGAACTGACTCAAGAAAACAGTCACCCTGATTCATTGGCATCTTTAATGAAAAGTCATTAATCCCACTGTCAGACTTATACTGCCTCTATCGATGAAAATTAAAAAATTTTTTGCTCCTGAGGGGCGATTAGTTTAGCCACAGTAGCAAAGAACTTGACATACAGTACATGACAACAATCACGACAACAAATTCATCCCACCTTCCACGTGTCTCAGTTAAACCAGTTGTGTCCAGTCTCTTGTGCCGTGTTTTGGAAAATGCTGAGCTCCAGCCCAGAGCTGTGTCCCTGGAGGCCTCTGCCTGCCAGCCCTACTCAGAGTTCTGGGAGCCCTCTCACTTGTCTGCCCTCTTCCCACTTCTCAGTTCATCTGTTTGCACACTCTTTGCCTTTGTTGTAAATCTACCTGAGTTGACTGTTCACCTGCCTTGTGTCCACTCCTGGATCTGTGCATCAAACCTTAACACTAGATGCACACTTTTGTTGCACAAAGCGTCTTGGAGCTTTACCCTAATCCCAACAGGAAGTCGAAATTGACCTAGTTTTGGCCTCCGTACTTTAACAAACTCCTCCTACAGAATTAGTCCGATCAACATCATATTTTTGCTATGCAATCTCAAGGTATTCAAGACGTAAAGTTGTGCTATCAGTGAGTTTTCGTTGAAGGGCGTGTTCGTGATGTGGCGTCGAATATCGAGGATTTGCCATGAAACAGGAAGTTGTTATAACTTCAGCATACATTCTCAAATCTCCGCCAGACTTTACACCTAAACACATCTGCATCAACAGGAAGTAAGCCCTGTTTTATAATCACTAAATTTACATGAAATGTTCAGTGTGTTTCACTCATCACTTACTGGGACATAACCTGTAATTAGCAGGTGCTCTCTAGCGCCACATACGTGACACAAGAGTGACGTTTAATTCCTCCGTGAGGTGTCCAAAGCCCGTGACAATTCAGGGTTGCATCAGCGACATCCAGCAATTGCACCGAGGCCTCAACTAGCCCCGAGACGTTTCATTCACAAGGCCCTGTTTGATGCTGCTTTAATATTAATATTATTAATATTACCTCCTTTATTCACTGTTGCTCACTGTGTGTAAAGTATGCTGCATGCATCAACTCTATTTCAGCATTTATCAGAATTACTTACTGGCTTGACCTGTCACTCCTCCTCAGCCTGGTTTGGCCCTTGTGAATCTTATAAAGCCAGGATGCTCTGGCCACACTTGGTCGGGCTTCTCTTAAACTGTTATCTGTTATTTCTGAATTCTGCTTTTGTAAAATTGCCCTCAGGAAACACTTCCGTTGTGTTTTTTTCTTGTGATTTTCTTAACATGTTGTGTTGTGTAGCAGTGTGTTGGCCTCTCAGGGACACCGTAGTTTTTGCTCACACGATGTTCTTCCAAAGAGGAATCTCTCCTTTTATTTTCTTCCTGTAGTTTGCTTTGAGTTGCACGTACATGTAGAACAAATTGCGGCATATTTTTGTTGAATGGAACACGTCCTTCATGACTATGGCAGATGAAAGACACAAAGCAGTTGCATTATGGGAAATGTAGGATCCAGTCAGGACATCTTCACCTCTGCTGTTCACATTTAGATCGTTTTGTTTTTAACGTGTCTCTTAAAACAACGACTGGAGATTTCTTTTGCAGCATGCTGCTCGGTGTTAACCTTTCAGCCTCAGACAGGAAGCGGCTGGACAGACACCTCAACAGGAAGTCGTGAGCTGAAGACCCTATTGCTGTTATGGTTTGGGGTTTTTGTGCTTCCTGTTTTATTTTGGTATTTCCCCGTCCTCTCATTTCTGGTCACTTCACTTCCTGCTCTCGTGTTTTCTGCAGGTTTGATTGTTTCCACCTTCGTCTCAGCACAGAAGTCACACTTTAAAATAAGAGATTTCAGATCTGTAAACTTTCAGGTCACCATTCAGCCTCCAAACAAAACTAAAGTCAGATATACCGGCTGGAGTGAACAGTGAAGAGGGAAAACAGAGATGTTGAAACATGAGATCCGTTACACGTATTACTCAGGCTGGAATAAAGATGTTCTTCTAGTGACCATCAGTAACCTACAGCCTCACCAGCTGGCATCATTGTCCATCAACGCTGTATAGAATAAAGTTAGTCAATCCAAAGGTCATTGTTTAAAACAGTTGTTCTGTGGTGTCAGAGTGTCTCTCCTGCACCTGCTCAAACCTCAGGCTGCTGTGTCTCTTCAGTGGGTGTTTCTTTCTGCAGGCTTTTGTTTGTGGTCAAATACAAACGGAACTCTAAAGCTGAAACCTGAAAACCGTTTGTCACTTACTCGTGAACGCTTCTCTTCAGCGTGGATTCGTGCCGCCAACTCTCGCTGTGTTTCAGCTGCTTCAGTCTTTCAAGGTGTTCGATGTGGATCATGAAGAGTGAGAGCAGGTTGGACTTGATGCTGCTGCTCGTTCTCCTCACAGGTACAGGTACTTTAACTTTATTTAAACTCAACGTTAAAGACATGGGTACATTATTAGATGAAGAGTAACAGCAGGTAAATCTGCTTCTGCTGTTACTGATAAATCTACAGGCTCTCTGGAGTTTGTATGCAGAATATCTTCTTTCAGCTTCTATCCACCCTGGAAGTAAAACATTTAAATAAAGAGCTTTAACTTTAACTAAGCAGTTAGACTTTGTCGTTCTTTCTGCCTCCACAGTCGGGGACAGCAGAGTTGGCGGGCGAACAGGTGAGAGCGTCACTCTGTCCTGTAAATATGACATCAGCAAACATGGAGCGCAGCATGTCTGCTGGGGTCGAGGTGAATTACCAAAGTTTGGCTGCGGCGACCAGCTCGTCTCCACAGACGGACATAAAGTGATAACCAGAGCTTCCAGCAGGTATCAGTTACTGGGACGACTGGAGGCAGGTGATGTTTCTCTGACCATACTGGACCTCACAGAGACGGATGCTGGACGGTACGGGTGCAGGGTGGAGATACCTGGACTGTTCAATGATGACAAACATCAATTTGATCTGATCACTGAGAGAGGTGAGACACTCTTTAAAGGACATAAAAGATTTTAAAAGTTTGTGCAGCTTGAAAAAGGAAACTTGACAGACGGCATGTTGAAGTTTCAGAGATCTGATTTAATCTGAGCTCTCTGTGTTCTGATCCCACAGCTCCTCTTCATACCAGCACAGTCAGATTAACGACCATCTCAGCACTGACAGGAAATGATGTCACAGAAAGCGAACCCACGGAGGTCACACGGGCTCCGGAGGTCAGTTTTCTCATCACAAGTTTCATTTTAGTCTTTAGTTCCAGTAACCACAGAATGAATTAAATAACTGTATTTAAAGTTTTTCACTCGTCGGCCCTAAAGGCTCAAACCAAGAAACCCACTCTGAGAACACGTGCTGCGTTCAGAACAAACAGAAATGAGTCCAAACTGCTTCGTTCATTAGGTTTTAACACTCTAAAATATTATGTACCGATATGTGATTTGGTAAGCTGGTGTAAAGGAAGATGTATTTTGTGTGATAAGCTCTTTGTGGTTTTGGTTCTTTCACACCTTCAGGGTCTGAGACGGTGCCCAGATTAGGGGTGCAGGGCTTCAGAGAAAAAGACAACCTGCGGTTTAGACCTGCCGAATGCTGTTGTCAGCAACAACAACAAAAAAGACTCCTATCTCTAGGGGCGGGCTGGCCTTCGATAAGTTTTGATTCAGCCAGCTCGGCCTGTCATACTGGGCCAAACTAGTTTTTACTTTCCATCAGGTTTGTGTGACAAGTGCAACAGAGACGCTAAATAAATGTTGGTAGCAGAGGCGGAGCCAGATGTAAACATTCGGAGCTTAGCCCAAATCTAGGGGTGTCCGGGGTCATGCCCCCCCCACCGGAGACTTTTTCCTGCTGTTTGAGATGATAGAATGCTGAAAAATCTTAACATTATCTGGGAAAAAGATGAATGCTGCTTTGGAAAATAATCGTCCTGTAGAGCTACAATCTCTTTTTTATTTAACTGTCTTCCAGCTGGAGTTAATCTAAAACGCAACAAATGTGGAGGATCAGTCATTTTCACTCCTGGCAACTAAAAAGAGGCAAAACTTATCTGATGTTACTATTTTTAAGTTACATAACCAAGGTACGGTATAAATAACAGCTGACTCATCTGTGGGACAAAATAGTCCCTCAAACGCAGTCAGATCAGCTGACATCAGCTAGCATGATGAAGCATTATGAAGCTTTGGGGCTTTAAGCTACGCAAACACAGAGGCAACCAGTGGCGAGTAAAACTTTTAGACTGAAACGCCACCATAACTTGCTGATGCTAATAATTTTAGTCTTGTGTGTGCAATAAAGTCAAAAAGGGGTAACCCTAATCTCACGGGTAATATTTATGAGATTCAGACATGTGATGTGATTGGACAGTGATATTCATTAAATTAGCCTATTAGTACCTATTAGACGATTTCCACTGAAACAAACCGAGGTTTTTACGCACCCACCTCCACTGTGTTTGCTCCTGTTGTCATCTACGCAGTAATTTTTAGTAAATCACCCATAACAGGTACTAAAATCACACGTGCAATATTTTAGAATGCGCACACAGTTAGTGCTCTTTGTTTGGATGTTAGAGCCCTATTAGTATTAAAATAACTGCAGAGAAGTCTTTCTGCTCGCGCCCTAAAGGCATCTCCATCTCCAAGGTCCCGGCTGAGTTTCAGTCCCAGTACATCTCTGGCTGCAGCATTTCAGTCTTTGCACGTGTTGCAAGTGTTTTCTTCTTTTGTATGTGTTTGCATGAGCTTTCAGGGCCACCGTACTTTCAAGGTTCTGCATCACTATCTCCTCCCACAGAGCAAACAAAACAACACCAAACTGACACCAGTCGGACGGCGATCGGATTATTCACGTGTTCTCTCATGACGTAAAGTGATGCAAGAAAGTCGGAGCAAAGATCAAAACTCTAACTGCTCCCAGCAGATTCTTCCTACTGAACGCACCTCGGAAACTATTTCAAATAAAAATGGAATTATTGTTTGTATTACGTTGTTTTGCTTCTCTCTAGAAGCTGAGCTGATTTCAACAGTTCATTAGCACACACCCCTGAAAATGTGTGTGTGTTGACAGATGTGGAGCACAGCTGTCCAGCAGCAGCAGGTAAACAGTCTGCAGAGCCTCGTTGGAAACAAAGTGAGAGTCTCCTTCATCATCATCGTACCTGCACTGCTGCTGATCACCTGTCAGTACACACACACACACACACACTCTGTAACATCAGCTGCCTGCATGTCTTTGGACGGTGGGAGAAAGCCGGAGCACCCGGAGAGAACCCACGCGGACACGGGGAGAACATGCAAACTCACAGAAAGGCCGGGACGACCAGGGTCCTGTGGTGTCACTGTTTCAGTTCTGCACCATCATGATGAAACCACAGGCTGCAGAGTCTCATCAGGGGGTGTGTTTCTGCATTTTTGCGTGTGTAGTTAAAAACAAACCAACCTGTAAAACTGAAACCTGAAAAACGCCGCTCGCTTACTTGGGTGCATGTTGCTTCATCGTGACCATCTGTCAGTTCGATGTGGATCATGAAGACTGAGAGCAGGTTGGACTTGATGCTGCTGCTCGTTCTTCTCACAGGTACTCTCTTTAACTTTCATTAAACTCAACTTTATCATAAAGAATGCCAACATATAAATCTGAGCTTCTGCTGTTACTGTTAAATCTACAGCGTCTCTTTGGCTTTTATGCAGAATAAACTAAAGAGCTTTAACTCTGCTGCTGAACTGAGCGGTTAAACTCTGTCTTTCTTTCTGCCTCCACAGTCGGTGAAAGTGACGGCAGCTCAGTTGTTGGTCAAACAGGTCAGAGCGTCACTCTGTCCTGTAAATATGACATCACCTATTATGGACCTCTGGAAGTCTGCTGGGGTCGAGGTGAATTACCAAAGTTTGGCTGCAGCGACCAGCTCGTCTCCACAGACGGACATAAAGTGATAACCAGAGCTTCCAGCAGGTATCAGTTACTGGGACGACTGGAGGCAGGTGATGTTTCTCTGACCATACTGGACCTCACAGAGACGGATGCTGGACGGTACGGGTGCATGGTGGAGATACCTGGATGGTTCAATAATGACAAACATCACCTGGATCTGATCGTCGAGAGAGGTGAGACACAGTTTTTGCTGCTTGAAAAAGGAAACTTGACAGACGGCATGTTGAAGCTTCAGAGATCCATAAACTGATTTAAATACAGAACAAAGTGTTCAACAGGTGGAGTCCATCACAGCTAAGAGTGCTGTTGGTGGGGCCTATTTTGAATTTGAGTCTTCAGTCCATCAGGAATCAGGATCTATGTTGTTTGTCTTTAACTGCAGGACAGGTTGAGACGTCACTTCTTAATGTCTCCAAATGAATTCAGGAAGAAGCTGATTAAACAGGGTTAGAGAGAGACCAGAGGAGCTGCATAGAGATGAGAGCTGCTGTTCTGTCTATAAGAGGTCCAGAAACACAGAACAGTCACAGATGAAGCAGCTGCTGTTGGTTAAAAGAAACAAACCACAGTGACTCTTTTCACACCCAGCAGTCCACTCCTCCCTCCTGCCTGTTGAACAAAAGGAGTTCCTTCTGCTTTTCCTACTGAGCAGGAACTTCCTGTATTCTGTCTGTGTTCTGACCCCACAGCTCCTCTTCATACCTGCACAGTCAGATCAACGACCATCACGGCAACGACAGGAAGTGATGTCACAGACAACGAACCCACGCAGGTCACACGGGCTCCGGAGGTCAGTTATCTTATCACAAGTTAACACTTTAGTTCCAGAATGAATCAAATAACTCTGTAAGGTTCTTCACTCGTCGGCCCAGAAGGCTCAAACAAAGAAACCCTCGTCATCACTTTGAGAACTCATTCAGAAAAAACAGGAAACACGAAATAAGTTAAAAGTGGTTCATTCAAAGTTTTAACATTCAGATGTATCAATTTAGGATATGGTAAGATGGTGTAATGGAAAATATATTTTCTTTGTGGTTTTGGTTCTTTCACACTTTAGCTTCTGACTGTGCTCAGAATAGGGGGCTGGAGGTGCAGGGCTTCAGAGAAAACATGAACCTGCGGTTTAGACCTGCAGGATGATGTTTCTAGCAACGAACCAGTGAACATCGTTGGACTTTTATGTGACAGCCAAGGTTATTATAGCGTTTAATTTTTCATTAGTTTTTATTTTGCTTTTGATTTCAGTTCAGTTTGAATTAGTTTTTAAAGCTGCAGGTTTGCTGTTGGTTTAGTTTTTTTAGTGTCGGTGTTAGTTCTAGTCTTTTTCGCTGCATGGTGTCGGGCGGGGGGCGTGGACTAAAACTGGCACAGCTAAGAAACTGGAAGATAGTGTTGGCCCCCCCTCGGAGCCACAGACAACAGGTCCCCAATGCCCTGAAGGCAAGTACGACTGGAAAACAGTTAAAATCTAAAAACCTTTTGAATCAAAAAAACAGGAACTCTGATTAAAACTATGTGAAGCTCAAAGGGGACGGTGTTGAAAAGGGGCGGAGACATAAGGGCTCAGATCAGGGCCCTGATGATGAACTTGGGTCACGAAAACTTTATTTAACTTTATTTATTAACTTTATTTTAGTCAAAAATGAAATGATGAAATATAACAGAGGTCCAGACGCCGCTATGACCCAGCTCTCCTCCTAACAGAGGTCCAGACCCGGCTCTCGTCCTAACAGAGGTCCAGACCCGGCTCTCGTCCTAACAGAGGTCCAGACCCGGCTCTCGTCCTAACAGAGGTCCAGACGCCGCTCTGACCCGGCTCTCCTCCTAACAATTCAATTCAATTCAATTTTATTTATATAGCGCCAAATCACAACAACAGTTATCTCACAGTGCTTTTCATAAAAGAGCAGGTCTAGACCGTACTCTGTGATGTTATTTACAGAAGCCCAACAGTTCCCACCAAGAGCAGCACTAGGTGACAGAGGCAAGGAAAAACTTCCTTTAAGAGGCAGAAACCTCGAGCAGAACCATGGCTCAGGGTGGGCGGCCATCTGCCTCCACCGGTTGGGGTGAAGGAGAGAGAGGGAGAGAGAGAGAGAGAGAGGGAGGCAGCCCACACAATATCCACACAGAGGTACAGACAGTAAAGGTGATGTTGCTATAGACTAAATGAAAAATGGTACAGATATTTATAGTAGTGTTAATGATAACAATCATAATGTTAATGATTATAATAACAATAATAATAGGACTAGTAACAATAGTCGTTGCAGCAGAGGGTGTCGAGCAGGAACACGGGGGCAGCAGGTGACCCGCAACTACAGATCCAGACTCCACAGCTCCAGAGCCAGAAAACCTGCAGGAAGTGATAGGAGGAGAGAGGAGAGGGACGAGAAAGCACAAGACTACAAGAAAGGGGAGAAGTTGTGTTAGTAACATGCAATAATGGGATGAGGTTGCATACAGAGGGAGAGAAAGTAGAGGAGAGAGGAGCTCAGTGCATCATGGGAAATCCTCCGGCAGTCTAGGCCTATAGCAGCATAACTAAGGGATGGTTCAGGACTCACCTGAGCCAGCCCTAACTATAAGCTTTATCAAAGAGGAAAGTCTTAAGCCTACTCTTAAATGTGGAGATGGTGTCTGCCTCCTGAACCCAAACTGGAACCTGGTTCCACAGGAGAGGAGCTTGATAGCTGAACGCTCTGGCTCCTAGTCTACTTTTGGAGACTCTAGGAACCACAAGTAACCCTGCATTCTGGGAGCGCAGTGCTCTGGTGGGGTAGTAAGGTACTATGAGCTCTTTAAGATAAGATGGTGCCTGACCATTAAGAGCTTTGTAGGTAAGAAGAATGATTTTAAATTCTATTCTGGATTTTACTGGAAGCCAATGCAGAGAAGCTAAAACAGGAGAAATGTGATCTCTTTTCCTGGTTCCTGTCAGAACACGTGCTGCAGCATTCTGGATCAGCTGAAGAGTCTTAATGGACTTTTTGAGCAGCCTGATAATAAGGAATTGCAGTAATCCAGCCTAGAAGTAACAAATGCATGGACTAGTTTTTCTGCATCATTTTTAGACAGGATGTTCCTGATTTTTGCAATATTACGTAGGTGAAAAAAGGCGGTCCTTGAAATTTGCTTAATGTGAGACTTAAACGACATGTCCTGATCAAAGATAACTCCAAGATTCCTCACAGTGGTGCTGGAGGCCAGGGCGATGCCATCAAGGGAAACTATATCTTTAGATAATGCGTCACGGAGGTGCTTAGGCCCCAGAACAATAACTTCAGTTTTATCTGAGTTTAACATGAGAAAATTACAGGTCATCCAGGTTTTAACATCCTGAAGGCACATTTGAAGTTTAGCTAACTGATGAGTTTCATCTGGCTTGATCGATAGATATAACTGAGTATCATCTGCATAACAATGAAAGCTTATGGAATGTTTCCTGATAATATTGCCTAAAGGAAGCATATATAAGTGAAGAGGATTGGTCCGAGGACAGATCCTTGAGGAACTCCATGAGTAACTTTGGCATGCATGGAGGACTCATCGTTAACATGTACAAACTGAAATCGATCTGATAAATAGGACTTAAACCAGCTTAGAGCGGTTCCTTTAATGCCAATGAAACATTCCAGTCTCTGCAATAGGATCTGATGGTCAATGGTATCAAATGCAGCACTAAGATCTAATAAAACCAGTACAGAGACAAGTCCTTTGTCTGATGCAATAAGGAGGTCGTTAGTAATTTTCACCAATGCTGTCTCTGTGCTATGATGAGCTCTGAATCTATTACTATTCTACTATTGCTCTGTAGAAAGTCACACAGCTGTTTAGCAACTGCTTTCTCCAGAACCTTAGAGAGAAATGGAAGGTTAGATATAGGTCTATAGTTGGCTAAAACATCCGGATCAAGTTTGGGCTTTTTCAGAAGAGGTTTAATTACAGCTACTTTAAAGTACTGTGGTGCATAGCCTGTTGATAAAGATAGATTGATCATATCTAGTATAGAGGTGCTGACTAAGGGTAGAACATCTTTAAGCAGCCTAGTCGGGATGGGGTCTAAGAGGCAGGTTGATGGTTTAGATGAAGAAATTATTGAAGTTAGTTGGTAAAGATTGAGGGAAGCAAAACAGTCTAAACATGTATCTGGTTCTACAGCTGTTTCTAAGGTTCCTGAGTTTAGAGATAAGTTGGTGCCAGTTGAGGGCAGGTCTTGGTGAATTTTGTTTCTAATAGTTAGAATTTTATCATTAAAGAAGCTCATGAAGTCGTAACTACTGAGAGCTATGGGAATACTTGGCTCAATAGAGCTGTGACTGTCTGTCAGCCTGGCTACAGTGCTGAAAAGAAACCTGGGGTTGTTCCTATTTTCCTCTATTAATGACGAGTAGTACGCTGCTCTGGCATTACGGAGGGCCTTCCTATAAGTTTTAAGACTATCTTGCCAAATTAAACAAGAATTTTCCAGTTTGGTAGAACGCCATTTCCTCTCAAGTTTCCGCGATATTTGCTTTAATTTGCGAGTTTCAGTATTATACCATGGAGCTAACCGTCTTTGTTTTATTATTTTCTTTTTTAGAGGGGCTACAGAGTCGAGTGTCATTCGCAGCGAGCCTGCAGCACTATCAACAAGATGATCGATTTGGGAGGGACTGAAATTAGCATAGGAGTCCTCCGTGACTAGATAATGTATTTAGAGCTGATGGAATCGCATCCTTAAATTTAGCACACAGCACTATCAGACAGACATCATGTATAGAAATTTTTGCCCAATGGCGAGTAGTTCAGCAATACAAACTCAAAAGTTATCAAACAGTGGTCGGATAAAGAGGGATTCTGTGGGAACACCACTAAATGTTCAATTTCAATACCATACACCAAAACAAGGTCGAGGGTGTGGTTAAAACAGTGAGTCGGTTCATGAACACTCTGAGAGAAGCCGATGGAATCTAACAGAGAGATAAACGCAGTACTGAAGCTGTCATTCTCAACGTCCACATGAATATTAAAATCCCCTACAATAATAACTTTGTCCGTTTTAAGGACTAAAGTTGACAAAAACTCTGCAAATTCAGATAAGAATTCAGAATACGGACCAGGTGCTCGGTACACTATAACGAAGAGAATTGGTTGCAGTGATTTCCAACTTGGGTGCGAAAGACTAAGAACAAGACTTTCAAATGAGTTATAGTTTAGTTTAGGTTTAGAGCTGATTAGTAGGCTAGAGTGGAAGATAGCTGCAACTCCACCTCCTCGGCCTGTGCCTCGAGGAATGTGAGTATTAATATGACTGGGAGGGGTGGATTCATTTAGGCTAACATATTCTCCATCACCCAGCCAGGTTTCAGTAAGACAAAATAAATCAATATCATAATCTGATATTAGTTCATTTACTAGTACACCTTTAGAAGAGAGAGATCTGATGTTTAAGAGTCCACATTTAACTCTCCTATTCGTTTGCACTATTGCTCTTGTGGTTTTAATTTTTATGAGGTTTTTATGCACAGCTCCTCTTCTGTTTACCTTTTTAAATAATTTCGATGGTCGGGGGCAGACACCGTCACTATAGGATTTTCGCTAAGTAACTCCTGAAATGGAGGAGCAGAGAAGTGTGTTAGACTGCGACTCTGCGTAGGGTTTTGGGTGGGTAACTGCTGAAAAAGAAGGGCAGAGAAGTGTGTTAAACTGCGACTCTGCCTCCTGGTCTCAACTCTGGGTTGTCATGGATTTGGTCCACTAATAAACTTGGCCAGATTTCTAGAAATGAGAGCTGCTCCTTCCCAAGTGGGATGGATGCCGTCTCTCCGGATCAGACCAGGTCTTCCCCAGAAAGTCTGCCAATGATCAACAAAGCCCACATCGTTTGCTGGACACCACCTCGACAACCAGCGGCGGAATGACGACATGCGGCTATACATGTCATCACTGGTCAGATTTGGCAGGGGTCCAGAGAAAACTACGGTGTCCGACATTGTTTTTGCATATGTACACACCGACTCAACATTAATCTTAGTGACCTCCGATTGGCGTAACCGGGAGTCATTACCGCCGACGTGAATAACAATCTTACTGTATTTACGTTTATCCTTAGCCAGCAGTTTCAAATAAGACTCAATGTCGCCCGCTCTGGCCCCAGGGATGCACTTAACTATGGCCGCTGGCTTCGCTAACTTCACGTTTCTCAAAATGGAGCTGCCAATGATCAGAGTTGGTTTCTCAGCGGGTGTGTCGCTGAGTGGGGAAAATCTGTTAGAAACGTGAACAGGTTGATGATGCCCCGTGGACTTTGAATGCTTACGACTATTCCTCCTTCGGACAGTCACCCAGCCCCCTCCTACTATGAGATTGAACAGCAGTCACTTAAAGATGGAAAGAACTGTGAGTGCTTAGGCAGAATTACTGTAAGAATAAGTGTTTAGCGAACAGTTGGCCGCTGTAATCTAACAAATGTAACTATTATTTAGCGAGAGCAGCACAACACGGTACCAACACACAAGCACCGGAAACGGAAATGAGTCGACACGCTTACCGCAATACGTCAGCAGTACGTCCAATCATCAGGCAGAGGTCCAGACGCCGCTCTGACCCGGCTCTCCTCCTCACAGAGATCCATGACGTGTGTCAGAGCACACACCAGTGAAAATGTGTGTGTGTTGACAGATGTGGAGCACAGCTGTCCAGCAGGTAAACAGTCTGCAGAGCTTTGTTGGAAACACACTGAGAGTCTCCTTCATCGTCTTCATACCTGCACTGCTGCTGATCACCTGTTACAGTCAGTACACACACACACACACACACACACACACACACACACACACACACACACACACACACACACACACACTCTGTAACATCAGCTGTTCTGTTCAGACATGATGGAGTTTTAGATTCTGTCGCCCTCAAGAGGCCAAATGAGATCATGACAACACAAATATCAGGACAGCCTTTCTGTCACTTTTACTTTTTATCAACTGCACAGCTTTAAAGAAACAGAAGGACAGTTATTTTAAAATCACCACTTTATTTATATATCAATTTATTCATTTAAACATCTGCAGGAGTTTGGAGGAGGAACCAGACTGACAGGAGGCTGAACCAATCAGAGAAGGAGGACACAGAGAGTCTCTAGCGTTGTTAAAGCCTTTTATTTTTTCATAAATCTTTGATGTAATTAAATTAAAGCTGTTCTCAGTAAATAAAATAAAGCTGTTCGTGTTTTATCAAAGTAAAAAGCCTGTGTATTTCTGTTTTGTTTGGATTAACTTCCTGAGCTGCGTCAGTGTCTCCGCCTCTGCACTCGGCCATCCCAGGTTTCAAAGGTAAAATACTATTTATACTCTGATTTGACTGAATACATGATGCTTATCATCCACGAGAGATGTGGATCCATACTGCCCAGGCTAATCAACAGAGATGTATCTAAACCTTGACTGAGACACAGATAATCACTGTCTTGTTTTAAAAAGCCATCAGGCCCATTTAACATCTGACCCCGAAATTATGAGCAGGCATAACCTGAAACACCTACCAAGTTATCAAAACAGTAACACTAGCTTTCCAATTTGACACGTGAGTGAGACGGGGCCCTGCTTAATATGCGGGGCCCTACACAGCGAGCTTAGTGAGTGCATAGGACGGTCCGGCTCTGGTTGAGTGTGTTGCAGTCATGAAATTCTGCCTTTATTATACTGTAATATAATTAGGGCTGGGCACGTTAATACATTAATTAATTAATACTGACAATTATTTTATCGCACGTTAACGCAGTTTATTTAAAGTTATTATTATTTTGAAAGTGCGTTGCTCACTGGCTCTGAATACAATTCCCTCCTGCTGATGTCCTGTTTAGTTAAACAGTAATAGATTCTGGAAACTCACCTTCGGCGGCGGGCGGGCGTGTGCGTGAGGTGAGCACTTCCGCTCCCTCTAACAGCGACACTTGCTGCTGAACACAGACTGTTTCTGCTGCTCCCTGAAAACAGATTTCTATCTGTTGACCTGCTGCTCAGCAGGAGCCTGTTCTGATGTTCTGATCGTGGCTCTGGACTCTAGATAAAGGTCACGCCCTGGCAGCGGCAAACGGCTTTGGTTTAATATTTGATTTCATTACATTAAAGTTTAAGTTGAGATTTACAAGAAATATTTTATTGCTACTGTGTAAAGGGAATACTGTTGGGGAAAAGCATCTTATCTGTTTAAAGTTGTTGCAAACCACATGTTATTGCACTTTTGTGTTTATAGCAGTACATTTAAATTAAAAGTGCCCAATACTCTACTTTAGAGTTCAGTAGTCAATTTTGTGCATAACTATATGATTAAAAATTTTAATCATTGCCGGGCACTAATATAATATTCACAAAAATACAATACTGTCAGTAAAACTATTGAAAACTAAATGTTTTCTTTCTACTTTTGTCAGTTAAATAATGATTATGATAATGATGAAAAATCATAGATCATCCATCCATCGTCAACCACATCCTGAGTACAGGGTCGCGGGGGGCTGGAGCCAATCCCAGCTGACATCAGGCGAAGGGCGGGGCTAACCCTGGAGAGGTCGCCAGTCCATCGCAGGGCCACACATAGACAGACAACCACTCACACTCACATTCACACATAAGGACAATTTTTATATTTTACATAAGACACCAATTAACTTAGCCTGCCGCTCTGACCCGGCTCTCCTCCTAACATAGGTTCAGATGACCACTGACTTTTATAGCTTTGGATAAAAGCATCAGCTAAATTAAGAAATGTAAACAACCGATCAGGCAAAAGGGAGTTCCAACTTTGTGCATCCAGAGAAAAGCAACTGCGGCCGCCGGACTTGGCGCCTTGCTCCTGCCAGGTTTTAATTTCATGTGTTTTTGCAGCACCAGTGAAAGTCAGACATAATGTTTAACCAGCATGCCTTACGTTTAGTCCAGCATGCATCACGTGACGTGCACAGCGCCACTTGAAGTCAAACATACCAAGTGATACATGATTCATGCCTGATGGTGATTCATCGCTAACTACTTACCAAATACCTCATGCATGCATTTCTTGCCCTCACCATCGAGTTGACAGACTAGAATACAGTACATCAGTCTGCAGAGGACACTGTGTCCTGCTTTAGTTGGCCGTAGTGAATTATACTGTGATGTTTGAAGTGTCAGCAGGTTTGATGTGGTCTCTATATGACCTTCAGATGTGCTGACATTAAGAAGGTAGGCCCACATGCTTGCACCCATGACTGTTTCTTTGCAAATGCTTTCCCAGAAAAAAAGAGCGAGCTCACTGAAAAAAGGTTCAGTGGTTCAGTCGCACACAGAACGAAGGTGCAGAGGGAACCTGAAGTTGCTTCCTGCGTGGTTAAGGCTGAATAGAAGTATATCTGTATTCATGTGATGTTAGCATGCAGAGACTGTGTGTCTGTGTGAAGCGTAGCATCTCTAACCCACGTATCAGTGTCTGAAAACTGTGGTTACATAACCTCATGTTAACAGTGAACAATAAAAACCACATAAATGTACATTTACCAAAGCTGAACAGTCCTGTGCTGACGTTAACGTTGCAGTTGAGCTCTGTGAAGCTGTGCAGAGCTCAGTACGTTACCATGAAAGAAGGAAGGTGGCAGGTCTGTGGTGGATGGAGCCAGGCGGTGAAGAACTGTTGAGCTGCAGTCTTTGCTGTGTCCTGATCCAGATGACAGGGTCCAACCTCTCTGTCTGTTCTCCTCGGGGTTAACTGAACGGGGTTCAGGCATCTTCAGAGTCAGAACCAGAGGGAGCTTTATTGCCAAGTAGTGTTTTAGACAGACCAGGAATCTGCTTTGGTGATGAGGTGCTACATGTAGACAGACAGATGATATAAATAAATGTAGAAATATATAAATATGGAATAAACAGACGCAAGGTATATAAGAATAATAAAATCATAGAGAGAAATAATACAACTATTTGCAGAGAAAGAACAACGTGGCAGATATTTCCATGTGCATTATTCTGGGATTGTGTTGTGCAGACGTGTTACAGCAGAGAGAGTATTGTGAACATAAATATATAAATTGACAATATAAAAATATAGAACAACAAAGATTAACAATTAACAACAAATATGTGCAGGTTTGTGCTGATATGAAATGAAATAATATTTACATGTGCAGAGACATTTGTATTATTTGAAAGGGGGGAGAGTCAGTGGGAGACCCGGGTCTTGCTGATGAGGCTGCAGACGGGAAGAAACTGTTTTTGTGGCGAGAGGTTTTGGTCCTGATGGACCGCAGCCTCCTGCCAGAGGGGAGAGTCTGAAACAGTTTGTGTCCGGGGTGGGAGGAGTCAGCTGCAATCTTTCCTGCTCGCCTCAGAGTCCTGGAGGGGTTCAGGTCCTGGAGGCGTACAGGTCCTGAAGAGAAGGAAGATTGCAGCCAATCAGCTTCTCTGCAGAGCGAACGATGCGCTGCAGCCTGTCCTTGTCCCTGGCGGTGGCAGCAGCGTACCAGATGGTGATGGAGGAGGTGAGGATGGACTCAGTGATGGCGGTGTAGAAGTGCACCATCATTGTCTTTGGCAGGATGAACTTCTTCAGCTGCCGCAGGAAGTACATCCTCTGCTGGGCCTTCTTGGTGAGGGAGGTGATGTTCAGCTCCCACTTGAGGTCCTGAGGTCCGGATTTCAAACAGGACTCTGTGACCTTGTGTCAAGATCACAGAGTCCTGTTTGAAATCCGGTCTAAGCACGCCATGCTGGGACGCCGGCCGTCAAAACCGGCCGGTGTTCTCCGGAGGACCGGAGCCAAAGAGGGAAGAGAGAGAACACAGACCTCGTGCTGCTGGTTTTATCAATCCGGTGTCTGAGGTCACAGGTCATTGACCAATCGAAGCTGCCGCTGGGTCTGGAGGCTGACTTCACAAGACTTTAAGACTTTCTGGGGGGTTCCTGGGAAAGTTCAATGACTCGCATGATAAAAGTTAAGATCACATATGAACAACCTGACCTCTGTGAGGTCCCGGTGATCCCAACAGCTGACTCAGGGGTCTCAGCTCCCGCCAAAGAGACTGAAGGGCCAGTTTCTGTACAGCGAGGAGGGGAAATAGAGATGTGAAAACACGAGAGCCGATACACGTGTTACTCAGGCTGGAATAAAGATTTTACCTACAGCCTGACTCGCTGACACCATCGTCCATCTGCACTGTGAAGGACTAAAACAGAGAGCTGAAACACTTCAGTCCAAAGGTAACTGCTTCATTGTGGTGTCAGAGTGTCTCTCCTGCACCAGCTCAAACCTCAGGCTGCTGTGTCTCTTCAGTGGGTGTCTGTTTCTGCAGGCTTTTGTTTGTGGTCAAATACAAACGGAACTCTAAAGCTGAAACCTGAAAACCGTTTCTCACTTACTCGTGAACGCTTCTCTTCAGCGTGGATTCGTGCCGCCAACTCTCGCTGTGTTTCAGCTGCTTCAGTCTTTCAAGGTGTTCGATGTGGATCATGAAGACTGAGAGCAGGTTGGACTTGATGCTGCTGCTCGTTCTCCTCACAGGTACAGTAGGATCTGATGGTCAGTGGTATCAAATGCAGCACTAAGATCTAATAAAACCAGTACAGAGACAAGTCCTTTGTCTGATGCAATAAGGAGGTCGTTAGTAATTTTCACCAGTGCTGTCTCTGTGCTATGATGAGCTCTAAATCCTGACTGAAAATCCTCAAATAAACTATTGCTCTGTAGAAAGTCACACAGCTGTTTAGCAACTGCTTTCTCCAGAACCTTAGAGAGAAATGGAAGGTTAGATATAGGTCTATAGTTGGCTAAAACATCCGGATCAAGTTTGGGCTTTTTCAGAAGAGGTTTAATTACAGCTACTTTAAAGTACTGTGGTACATAGCCTGTTGATAAAGATAGATTGATCATATCTAGTATAGAGGTGCTGACTAAGGGTAAAACCTCTTTAAGCAGCCTAGTCGGGATGGGGTCTAAGAGGCAGGTTGACACATCGCCAACGTCTGATAGATATCCGGCACGCCAAATATCTGGCGGAGTCGGCCAACTCCACATCCACATCCAGCCAATGAGAGCAGGCAGCTACTTTTCTCTGCAAAACCTACAGTCTTTTAACTCCCCTCCAGCTCTCTGTAGCTCGGACGATCCCTGCTGATCCATCCTTTCACCAGATTATTTGTCTTTATAATAACAAACAGCTGTTTCCTGTGCAGGTTCGCGTCATTTCCCGTTTCACATTTTACGTGTGTTTTCTTGACCAAACCTGGTTTGGAGACCAGCGTCGGGTGACACAGCCGCTGTCAGCTCGTGTAGTGTATGACCCCCTGTCACCGATCAGTCACGTAGTGTGAACGCCACAACGACTTCAACACTTCCGTCACAACACGGCAAGTTGAGTCGTGTGAAACTCAAAATTAACCATCTATGAATGAAGAGAAGGAGACACAAACATTATCTGTAACTATAGGATTATTATTTGGGTTATATTGACTGATATTGATTATATTGTGATCTGAACATGAAACCTTTCAGCTGTCTTGATGTTTAGTGTGTGTGAAAATGTGTGTGTGTTGACAGATGTGTAGCACACCTGTCCAGCAGGTAAACAGTCTGCAGAGCCTCGTTGGAAACACACTGAGAGTCTCCTTCATCGTCTTTATACCTGCACTGCTGCTGATCACCTGTTACAGTCAGTACACACACACACACACGTTTGTCTTACTATCTTTGAGGGGACATCTCATTGACATGATGAATCCTCTAACCCTGAACCGTCACAACTACCTGCCTGCCAAACCGGAACCTGATTCTAACCTGAACCCTTTTCCTCAATAGCAATATAACAATTGTTCAATAAATTGTCAATAAATCTTTGATTAAATTCATTAGAATCACAAACAAATTAGCACTTATTTTTTCTATTAAGACTTTGTATTGAGGAAAAGGGACAGAAAAAAGTTACTTATCATATTTTTTGAAAAAAGATTTGATCATAATTGTTTTAAATGTTCTACCTCACATATGTTAAGTGATTTAATGTTTGGCATCAAGTGTCTGTCACGTTCTGACATTAAAGAATAGTTTAACCACACAGTTAACCATCTGGTTTCTTCAATTTTCACCAACGGGAAAATATCAGCCTTTAAACTTGAAAGAATGAATGACTTGACATTTATCCTGAAAATTATTGATATCGAATTATATATGAAATCTTTTTATTTTGATAACATTTCAGCCATATCACACAGCCCTATCCTAAAACCAAATCGTAACACTCAAACAGCTCTTTAAACGTGTGGGGTCCAGCATGTTGGACCCCACAAAGCTTTTAGACCCGACAAGGATAGTAAATCACGGCTTTAGGACCCCACAAGCATATTAAGACAAAAACACACACATACACGTCTGGGGCGGCTGATTTTACAGTTTTTTTATGACTGCTTACACAAACTCTTCACACATTACATAATTTCTGAAAACAATGACTTAACGAGCAAAACCACAAACCACACCTGGAAAACCAGAAGCTGTTTCAGGTCACCTGTTTAGGGATGACAACGAGGACAAGGAGGAAGAGTTTGAAGAGGAGGAACTAAGGAGACATAGTTTTGAAACCACGAGCAAGCAGTTCTAAAAGACAAACATCAGCTGTTCTGTTCAGACATGATGGAGTTTTAGATTCTGTCGCCCTCAAGAGGCCAAATGAGATCATGACAACACAAATATCAGGACAGCCTTTCTGTCACTTTTACTTTTTATTAACTGCACAGCATTAAAGAAAAAGATGGACAGTTATTTAAAGACACTTATTAATGTATTTATTTATACGTCTGCAGGAGTTTGGAGGAGGAACCAGACTGACAGACTGACAGGAGGCTGAACCAATCTCAGTAAATAAAATAGTTAGTTTTTTCTAAAAGTAAAAATGCAGTTTTTTTTTCTCAAAATCAATGTGGTGATAAAATTTATTTCAAAATCATCAGAAAGAAAAATTTCATTCATTCATCATCTTCTGAAAGTGGACACCACTATCTGACGGAGATTAACAGACTCACTAAATTATAAAAACACAAACGTTTTTACAATTTAAATAAAGAGAAGTTTCATAAAATATATTAATAGTTGGGGATCAACACAGTTGATGGATGAGTAGATTTACTGATCACTTATGTTTGAAGCAGATGCATCAATGGCCTCAGCTTTGGAACTGATTCAAAAAACAAAAGCACTCAGACACATGACACACATCCAAAATAGAAATTGACATGATGAAGCTACATGTAATAAATAAATAATAAGTTAAACATTCTTTAGATAAACATGTTTTTTTTTAAATCGGCTCAAAGATAACATTGTGATGTGACTTCAGTGGGAAAGTTCAGTTTTCATGTTTATCTACTACAACAAACGGCTCACTTACTGTTGCCAGTAGGTGGCTTGACGTTGAGTGAATATTGGCATTTGGATGTGTTCAGGGTGGGACATGTAAAATCTGGTGCAGATCTGAGGATGTGCACTAAAGTTATAACACCTTCCAGTGTCATAATGAATCATCGATATTTGACACCATGGACACGCCCTTCAACCAAAACTCACACATAGCACAAATTTTTGTGATCGATGCCTTGAGACTGCACAGCAAAAATATGAAGTCGATCCGATTTATTCTGTAGGAGGAGTTTGTTAAAATATGGAGACTGAAAATGGCACAAAAAGGCCTAAATTGCCTTTCAAATTAAAGTGGCTGACATCCTGTTGGGTGCTGCTCCAAAAGGCTTTTTTGTGCATCTTGGGATGATCCATGTGTAACAAAAGGTTTGTTGATCCAGTGTTAAGGTTTGCCTTATGGACCCAGGAGTGGACACAAGACAGGTGAACAGTATCGTGGCAGCACTGGTGAGGGCTCTGTGGGCGTATTCAACCCAAGCGAGGTTTCCACTCCAAGCGCTTGGGTTCTGGGCTGCGACACACCACAGGGCTGCATCCAGGTCCTGAATAAAGCCCAACATGTCCGCCGTGAGTTTAGTGTCTTAGCTGATTGAATGTAGGCCAAATTTATGTGGTCTGTCAGGACTATGTAGGGTTGTTTTAAATTTGATGTGCACCTATGAGGAGAGCCATCATATATCATCCCATATGAACACATGTAAACGGGTGACACAATTATCATTTCTGAGCTGCAGGTTATAAACACTGTTGCCTGTTGGCGTTTATCAAATGTAATAAGTAGTATCACTCTAACATTGTTCAGACACATCAAAACAGTTATATATGCATGTATATATATATCGCTCCTGGATAGCTCAGTGGTTGAAGTAACTGACTTTGCCAGTGGACCCTTAGGCAAGGTCCTTAGTGCTACTTGCCTACCTCAGGCATGAGTGAAACCGCAAATGCAAGAGCCATACCGGCTCAGACGTCGCCCGGGTCAACAAGGTCCACGTCAGGTGCTAGGGAACCAGGGCAACCTGATGACAAATGGACTACTGGAACAAGACATTCATGGACTAGAGCAGAAAATATGACTGTGTGATGAGACTGTGGGATATATGGATGCTTCGAAACCCATCAACACTGACAAAGAAACAACTCCTAGTTCACTGTTCTAACAACCGCAAACAGCAACTCCTATCACGGAACGTACCACTGACAAATAGAAGAAGTGGCTGATATCAAGAAATCCTAGCAGTGGCTGGACAAGGCTGGACTGAAGGACAGCACAGAAGCACTAATCATGGCGGCACAAGAACAGGCACTCAGTACAACATCAATAGAGGCTGGGGTCTACCACACCAGGCAATCCCAAGGGACAGCAACATCAAGAAGAAGGACCACGAGAAGCTTGAGAAATACCAAGGGCTGAAAGAGGAGCTAGAAAAGATGTGGAAAGTAAGAGCAACAGTGGTGCCAGAGGTGATCGGAGCACCGGGGGCCGTGACCCCCAAACTGGGAGAGTGGCTCCAGCAGATTCCAGGTAAAACATCAGAGGTCTCTGTCCAGAAGAGTGCAGTCCTAGGAACAGCTAAGATACTGCGCAGAACCCTCAAACTCCCAGGCCTCTGGTAGAGGCGAGCTTGACGATGACACATACCACCCTGCAAGGGCTGAGAGGGGATTTATATATATATATATATTGGAGACTACATATATATTCAAATATTAAATCTTTACATATTTGTAGGAGAATATTTATTGTAAATAAAACTGTAGATTACTTTTTAGATTACTTATAGATTACTTACCTTTTTACCACAGATAAAAGATAGATGGGAGAAGGTGAAGTGGAGAAGTGAAACTCAAAGAGTCCGAGGTTCAGACACAGCAAGCAGCTGATGCCAAGTACTGCCAACAGGAAGTGGTGTGCTCATCACACCCTAAAACCATTTGGCCCTCGTGTGTTGGCCCCGTACACTGCAGAGAAAGAAGCTCTGGAGCGGAAGTATAATAATATATGGATGAGCTCAATGTTATAATTTAGGCTCAGTTAGTCATAGCCTTAAAATATGAGTTAAATCATCACAATTAGGATATTCTAATGAGATTTCTATGATAGAAACCACATCTGTAATAATTTTGACTTAGGATCTAGGTTTTCTTGCAGCGTCTGTAGAACAGTTGTTAGGGTGGTTGCTAAGGCATTACTAGATGGTGGTTAAGGTGTTCTGGATGGTTTCAGTGGTCTGCAAGAGTCTGAATTAACACATTTCAGTTTGTTCCTTTCCTGTTGTTGGGGCGGCTCCCTCTCAGGAGGTAGAGCGCTGTTGTCATGTCAAAGTGTCCTTGGCCAGATACTGATCCCTGAACTGCATGTGTATGAATGTGTGTGAATGTTCAGTTTGAGCACTTAGGCTCAGTGTATGACTGGGTAAATGCGATGTAGTGTGTTGGATTGATTGATCGATTTTAGGGGTCACAAAAGACTAGAAAGGCGCAATACAAATACAGAGCATTTACATGCACTTTTTTTACAGGGAGAATAACGTACGAGTCCACTAGGAGGCAGCGTGACGTTGAGCAAACCAAAATCAGAAAATGCAAATCAGAAGACTTGAAACTAGCGACTGAGACCAGAAACTCATCTGGAAAGTGTTTACTGAGGGAATAAATCAGCTGACAAGTAGAAACATTTTCTCACAGACTTCTATACAATCACACTTCTTTCTGCAGCCGCTGGAGTCGCCCCCTGCTGGCCGCTGGAGAGGACGCAGGTTTAAGTCGCCCCCTGCTGGCTGCTAGAGAGGACGCAGGTTTAAATTGCCCCCTGCTGGCCGCTAGAGAGGACGCAGGTTTAAGTCGCCCCCTGCTGGCCGCTAGAGAGGACGCAGGTTTAAGTCGCCCCCTGCTGGCTGCTGGAGAGGACGCAGGTTTAAGGTGCTTCACTTTTCAGACCTGCAGGTTCCTGCTTGGCTGGAAAGCTTGACAAAATTTTGAAGAATGTAGTAGAAGCACAAAAAGGACAAATTAAAACAAGTCATTAACAGCTGCAGGCTGCGCTGCTGAAATGCTTCTGAGACGCTTCCAGTGGAAGTTGACGTCCCATGATGCATGAGGGTGAAGGGAGTTTTGTTAAAATGTGCTAATAAGTTTGCCATTTGTTTGAAATGCAAATGTTACTTTATGAAGGCTTCATGAAGCTGCTGTCTGTACAGGAAGTGAGCCACTCTTTCTTATTTCAGTGTGACGTGCATATTTTCTCAAGCCAAGTTGTGGTTTTTAGTTCAGCAGCAGCAGCGGATCATTTTTTACAGTGTGCTGTGGTGTTTAAATGTGGTGTGAGCGTGAACACAGTTTGTCAGTGTGACTTTGTTCATCATGAAGCTCGTTCTGCTGCTCGCTCTGCTCGCAGGTACTCAAACTCTACAAACCTTATTTATTTATTACGTTTCTTTTAAAGTGATGAAGCAGATTAGGGTCGAACTTTTCATTAGTAAGTGAGTGAGAAAGTGAGTTTGATTTGCAGTTCAGCAAAGACGGACAGAGTGAAGCATCCACCTGTCACAGGCGAAGAATCTCAGATAAATATCAGGCAGCTGTCTGCTTGTTGCATCTTTAAAAACAGAACTAACAGAACGAGACAAGCTGACACTTTGATCTGACGCCTGAGATATTTTAAAGAAAGAAACTTGCTGTGGTCTCTGCTGCTGAACTGAGCGGTTAAACTCTGTCTTTCTTTCTGCCTCCACAGTCGGTGAAAGTGACGGCAGCTCAGTTGTTGGTCAAACAGGTCAGAGCGTCACTCTGTCCTGTAAATATGACATCACCTATTATGGAGCGCTGGAAGTCTGCTGGGGTCGAGGTGAAATACCAACCTTAGGCTGCAGCGACCAGCTCGTCTCCACAGACGGACATAAAGTGATAACCAGAGCTTCCAGCAGGTATCAGTTGGGACGACTGGAGGCAGGTGATGTTTCTCTGACCATACTGAACCTCACAGAGACGGATGCTGGATGGTACGGGTGCAGGGTGGAGATACCTGGATGGTTCAATGATGAGAAACATCACCTGGATCTGATCACTGAGAGAGGTGAGACACTCTTTAAAGGACATAAAGGATTTTAAAAGTTTGTGCAGCTTGAAAAAGGAAACTTGACAGACGGCATGTTGAAGCTTCAGAGATCCATAAACTCTGATTTAAATAGTGTTCAACAGGTGGAGTCCATCACAGCTAAGAGTGCTGTTAGAGAGGTCTATTTTGAATTTGAGTCTTCAGTCCATCAGGAATCAGGATCTACATAATGGGACTATCCAATGGGCATTGCGCACTTGGGGCCCAAGAAAGGGGAAGAAAAAAAAACGTTTTTATTGTTTCCAATTTAGATATTGACATCATGTCTGACCAATTAAAAGCACTTTGATATTTTTATATCTAAACAGAATTAATTAAACGTAACAACCTGACCTTAACGTTGGTCATCAAATAACCCAGCACTGAATCGAGAGGACTGTGGGAAAAGTTGTAGTAGTTAAAATGAGTGAGCGAAACAAAGAACAGGAGAGGGAGGCATCTTCACTGAGACATGTGCCATCTATTCAAAAGGAGCCAGGTTGAGAATCAGGGTGAAGAAGTTGTAGAAGATCGAAGATGATGAGCAAGCTAACCAGGGACCGGAGGAGGCTCCTGGATTTATCAGCTGTCTGACCCGGTGTTGCGCGGGCCAATCAACGAAGATGCTGGCGCCGATAGTGGAAATATCCAGCCTCAGCCTGTGATATGGTTTGGGCGGTATGGTGGGCTCCCTCGCTAATGATCTGCTGTGGGGAGTGGATCACCGTTGACCGGAACCACGGCGACCATGTGCGTGAGAAAAGCACAGAGCCATAAGCGGAGCTAGCGTGGGTGCATGGGGGTGGCCCAAATTTAGCTCCGCTGATTATAGCGGATACGAACAAACAACTACGGTATGACGATACGATGTACCGGGAGAATTCAGCAGCTCTTATCCAATGAAACTCTTCACTCCTGGTTTCAATGGAAAACCACCACAAGAACGACAATCACCAACAGACACACTCGATTCTAAGGAGACACATAAATAAACATAAATCATAAAGTAACATTTGTATTTCAAACAAATGGCAAACTTATTAGCACATTTTAACAAAACTCCCTTCACCCTCATGCATCATGGGAATTCTGAGGGATGGACATAGGCTGCGCAGCGGGTTATTTACGACGTCAACTTCCACTGGACGCGTCTCAGAAGCATTTCAGCAGCGCAGCCTGCAGCCTGCAGCTGTTAATGACTTGTTTTCATTTGTCCTTTTTGTGCTTCTACTACATTCTTCAAAGCTCTCTGTGGATCGCTTTCTTTTCTTGTCTTGACGGGTGCATCTAGCAACTACCACAGGGAGCATTTCAGAATAAGAGCATTTTACCTGCTTTGCCGACATGTTTATCGGCACAAACATTTAGTAGAAATGCTGCTCCGGCAGCAGCGAAGCAGACAGACTCTGTGGACTTTCGGAATGAGTCTGGGGTCATGTGAACATGGTTAATATGTCTTTGTAGCACGTGGGCCCACGATGAAGCTCCGCCCCCACTGTGCTGGCAGTCTAGCTCCGCCCCCGCACAGAGCACTGTTGTTACATATTAGCGTCGCTTCTGCGGGACTGTGAAAGTAAACCAACAGCTGGAGGGAGAGAAACAGGAGGAGCTGAAGCAGGTTGTGGCTGTAAGTTTTAAGTGAAAGAGTGCTGCCTTTACGTGGCGACGGTGAAGAAGCATATTTACTGGACATGTTTTTGTGTGTGAATAATTGAAGAATCAGATTCATAGAACTGGATTAGAGGTGAGGATTGAGATTTGTGCTTGCATAATGTGATTTACAGTAATCCGGGGAATGTATTGATATTGTGGTCCAGGAAAGCATTGTTTCAGTCATGTGGTATAAGGTTAAAGGTTAAATCCTGTACGATGGAGGAAATGTAACGTTACAGGTGTTGATCAGTGTAAATCCCGTAGAGACAGACCATATGGGTTTTTTGGGGCAGATAAACAGGGTTAGAGAGAGACCAGAGGAGCTGCATAGAGATGAGAGCTGCTGTTCTGTCTATAAGAGGTCCAGAAACACAGAACAGTCACAGATGAAGCAGCTGCTGTTGGTTAAAAGAAACAAACCACAGTGACTCTTTTCACACCCAGCAGTCCACTCCTCCCTCCTGCCTGTTGAACAAAAGGAGTTCCTTCTGCTTTTCCTACTGAGCAGGAACTTCCTGTATTCTGTCTGTGTTCTGACCCCACAGCTCCTCTTCATACCTGCACAGGTAGATCAACGACCATCACGGCAACGACAGGAAGTGATGTCACAGACAACGGACCCACGGAGGTCACACGGGCTCCGGAGGTCACACGGGCTCCGGAGGTCAGTTATCTCATCACAAGTTTCACTTTAGTTCCAGAATGAATCAAATAACTCTGTAAGGTTCTTCACTCGTCGGCCCAGAAGGCTCAAACCAAGAAACCCTCGTCATCACTTTGAGAACTCGTTCAGAACAAACAGGAAACAGAACAGAGTCAAAACTGGTTCATTCAATTAAGTTTTAATGTCCTTAAATTTTCTGTACAGGTTTGGTAAGATGGTGTAATGGAAAATATATTTTTCGTGATAAGCTCTTTGTGGTTTTGGTTCTTTCACACTTTAGCGTCAGACTGTGCTCAGAATAGGGAACCGGCTTCAGAGAAAACATGAACCTGCGGTTTAGACCTGCAGGATGATGTTTCTAGCAACGAACCAGTGAACATCGTTGGACTTTTATGTGACAGCCAAGGTTATTATAGCGTTTAATTTTTCATTAGTTTTGAAAGCTGCAGGTTTGCTTTTGGTTTAGTTTTTTTAGTGTCGGTGTTAGTTCTAGTCTTTTTCGCTGCATGGTGTCGGGCGGGGGGCGTGGACTAAAACTGGCACAGCTAAGAAACTGGAAGATAGTGTTGGCCCCCCCTCGGAGCCACAGACAACAGGTCCCCAATGCCCTGAAGGCAAGTACGACTGGAAAACAGTTAAAATCTAAAAACCTTTTGAATCAAAAAAACAGGAACTCTGATTAAAACTATGTGAAACTCAAAGAGACAGCGCGTCACTTTGTGTTGAAAAGGGGCGGAGACATAAGGGCTCAGATCAGGGCCCTGATGATGAACTTGGGTCACCCGCTCTCCTCCTAACAGAGGTCCAGACGCCGCTCTGACCCGGCTCTCCTGATGAATAAAGCTTAAATCTCCTTCACATGGTGGCCTAACAGTTACTGGCTCACCAACAGGTGTCTATCAGGGGCAAGGTTGATCTCAAAATGTTTGCAACAATTTTCTCCTGTTTGGTGGGTGTGTCACAGGTGTTACCCAATAAGCTGCGACAAGTTTGTAAACACTGCGGTGTTAAAAAGGCAGGAAATTGCAGTGCGGTTGTGTTCACAACAGGGAGTTCAGGGAATCACCGTTTCTGTTGCAAACCTTTTGTAGCCGCTGAACTCGCCCCAGTTAATCTCAGCCGGTCCGAACAGACCAACTGCCCCCAACGTCAGTTCCACCAGCTTCATGTGCAGCCAAAATCTAGGCTCATGTAGGCTCTATGGAATTACTTGACAAAGATAAAAACTACTAACATTTTGGTGACCGTCCTGCCGCATGTTCTTGCTTGACGTTTCAATATGCATACGAAGGAGGTCTTTGCCTGTCGGCCTTGGAGACCTTTGATCTCTGTGCACCTGGAGCTCATTTGCAGATGTGAAATAAAGTTAATCAGAGACAGTTTTGGTTTTTCAAAAAGAGATGCAGGAATGTTGGCGCTCTTTCACATCTTCATCCAGAACCATCAATAAATCCAATTGTTCCCACCGGATTCTTCTTAATTAACGTACTTTATATAAATGTGCCAATTAAAAAGACGGTGCTGGTGTAAATTAACTCAGACATGACTCAGCATGAGAGCTGCTACTTTCTCATATTGTCAGAGGACCAGGAAGCTAAATTTAGCCTGTTTCTTGTGTGTAGGTGTGATTTTAACATAAATCTTTAGTTGTTTTAATGTTTAACATGTGACGTGTCAGAGCACACACCTGTGAAAATGTGTGTGTTGACAGATGTGGAGCACAGCTGTCCAGCAGCAGCAGGTAAACAGTCTGCAGAGCTTTGTTGGAAACACAGTGAGAGTCTCCTTCATCATCATCATCATACCTGCACTGCTGCTGATCACCTGTTACAGTCAGTACACACACACACACACACACACACACACACACACACACACACTCTGTAACATCAGCTGTTCTGTTCAGACATGATGGAGTTTTAGATTCTGTCGCCCTCAAGAGGCCAAATGAGATCATGACAACACAAATATCAGGACAGCCTTTCTGTCACTTTTACTTTTAATTAACTGCACAGCTTTAAAGAAACAGAAGGACAGTTATTTTAAAATCACCACTTATTAATTTATTAATTTAAATGTCTGCAGGAGTTTGGAGGACGAACCAAACTGAAAGACTGACAGGAGGCTGAACCAATCAGAGAAGGAGGACACAGAGAGTCTCTAGTGTTGTTAAAGCCTTTTATTTTTTCATAAATGTTTGATGTAATTAAATTAAAGCTGTTCTCAGTAAATAAAATAAAACTGTTTTTTGTTAAAAGTAAAATCCTGTGTTTATTTTCTCAAAATCAACGTGGTGATCACACAAGTCACTGCTGTAATGTTTAATTTCATTATCATTTCTGAGCTGCAGGTTATAAACACTCAGCGTTTATCAAATTTCACTCTAACATTGTTCAGACACAGCAAAACAGATTCACTGCAGCTGCACATTCCTGCAACATTCCTGTAATCTGCCAACATCAGACTTTGAGAGGAGAGAACACGTCTACCTGACTGCTGTTCCTGAAAGTTAGATTCTTTCTTATCTTTTACCAAGAAGGAGTGTTTCACCTTCATCCTCTCAGAGTTTGAAACACTTGTTCTGTGGTGTCTCTCCTGCACCAGCTGAAACCTCAGGCTGCTGTGTCTCTTCAGTGGGTGTGTGTTTCTGCATGTTTGCGTTTGTGGTCAAATACAAACGGAACTCTAAAGCTGAAACCTGAAAACTGTTGCTCGCTTAGTCGACTGGACTTCGCTTCAACGTCGAGTCAACTCTCGCTGTGTTTCAGCTGCTTCAGTCTTTCAAGGTGTTCGATGTGGATCATGAAGACTGAGAGCAGGTTGGACTTGATGCTGCTGCTCGTTCTCCTCACAGGTACAGGTACTTTAACTTTATTTAAACTCAACTTTATCTACATGAGTGCATTAATAGAAAAAGAACAACAGCATATAAATCTATGCTTCTGTTGTTACTGATAAATCTACAGCGTCTCTTTGGCTTGTATGCAGAATATCTTCTCTTCAGTACAGAAGCAGGATTTCAGCTTCTATCCTGCCTGGAAGTAAAAAGATTAAAATAAAGAGATTAAATAAAGGGCTAAATGGAGTTTTTCAATGAGGTCACTTATTAATAAATGACTTTTTACTTCCTTTGTGTCAATGGGATGTAGCCTCACTTAGAAATGAAGCCCACGCCTGTTTTCTCCGTTGCTTGCATCAGCCACATTCTGCTTTGAATGCATTCAGCCCTGTTCGCTCCCGAGCCTCTCGGACTACAGCGACAACACGGCAGCTAACGACATGCAGTCCACTAACACCGTAAAACAACCGGCTCCCAGCAAAACACATGAGGATAAAAACAACAATGTTTTATGTGCTGAAGCCCATCAGACCAAACACATTAAGTTTATGTCGAATGAAAACACAGTCAGCAACAAGCTCGCCTGCTCACGCCGTCCAGTTGCTAAAGTTATCTGGTGCAAAATACTAAAGTTGTAATGTTATGACTTCCACATTATTTCACCAGCTAACGCGACTCATATCACTATCCTGTGTACCACCGCTATCACGTCAAAGTGTTGATTTAGCCAGCAAGAAAGGAGGTAACGGTACAAAGCAAATGTGGAGCGATTTGTTTACTAGCCTCTAGTGATGCAGGGCAGCCAGCTACTGTTACCCGATCCACTGCTGTTTGCTTCAAAACCTTTATTTTAGATTAAGTGCCGATATGCGGCTCGCTGAATGAAAGGTACGGCGCCGGTGTTGCTGCCTCTGAGCCGGGAACGCTGAAGTAACAGAGCCTGAACATGTCTGGAGAAATACCACAGCCTGCATGCTGGTGTTTCTGCGTTCATTACAGGATCTCACCGTCCTTCCATACAACATGTGTACTGTAGTACTCCCCCAAACCAGCTGAGTGGATAAGTGTACCAGTGCAAGTGAACCAGTGGACTCATTTACTGACTCCATGGCGATCAGAGGTGGCCATGAAGTACACAACTCATACTCAAGTACAAGTAGCCTACAAGTCATTTTCACAGCAGCGTGGGATTAGCCAACGCCATGCTGACAAAATAACCTTATTTCAGCCATTAGGACAGTTAGCCGAAGTTAAGACTGCAGAAACTATGCTAGCTACAGAAACTATGTCTAATGGCTTCTGCAGCGCTGCAAGACAGTCTCACTTTATCAGTGTTATGATTATGTTACTATCATTGACCTTAATTGAAGTAATCATTCACTCGTTTTTTAACAGTGAGGTCACAGCAGGTGAGAGTGACCTACTGGGTCCCCCCAGGGCTGCGTCCTCCCCCCTCTTTTATTTGTTTTATACACAAATAAATGCCACAGCCATCATGAACGGCGCCACATTATTAAATTGGATGATTCTGTCATTGTGTCATCAGCAGTGATGACCCCGAACACGGTCCTGTAGTGAAGGATTTTATTGATTGGTGTAAATCCTCCATTTTAAACATTAATGTGGCAAAAAACGAAAGAGATGTGCATCGACTTCAGTAGAAACCCCACTGTCATTTCCCCTGTTGTAATGGACAACCAGCCAGTTGAACTAGTGCAGCAGTACAAATATCGTGGGACTGTGATTGACAGTTGCTTTGAGTCCCAGGTTGATGCTGTGTGTAAAAAAGCACATCAGCTTGTGCACTCTCTTCGTAAGCTTCGCAGTTTTATTGTCGACACTGTTTTTATGAAAATGTTTTATTCCTGTTTTATTGAATCAGTTCTCACTTTCTCTTTTGTCTGCTGGCACTTTATATTAATCAGAAAAATCCCATGCAAGGTGTCATGAAGGTATGCAGCAAAATTGCAGGCACACCCTTAGATGACCTCCATGACCTGTATAAGGTCAGATCCTTGAAGAAGGCGAGAGCCATGCTGGCTGATGGGGTTAATTTACGCTGCTGCCATCCGGGCGCAGATACAGTCTGCCGCAGAACGAATAGATTAAAAAGGCCATTCATCATTGTTAATAATACCTAATACTGTGTTTGTATTCATTGTTGTGGTCTGATAAATATATTTGTTACTGCTGGCTGTAATCCAAACTGCCCCTCGGGGATAATAAAGTTACCCCGTACCTACCATGCCGTCCGCATGGCAAACGCCCGAGGGCATCACTTTGTGTTGAAAAGTGGTGGGGACATTAAGGGCTCAGATTAGTGACGAAACACTTAGCCCACAAGACGTGACATTGCACAAGATAAGAATATATTTTAATACTATTTAGAAACAATCTGTATTCATGAATTTAGGACAGTGTAAATGACCCTCCCTACAGGCGGAGCTACTCCATGCTTACCGCTTCACCTCCACTCTCCTGCTCTCACTTTGTCACTGCTGTCACACGCCTCCTCCTCTGCCCGGCAGGGGCCTCGGCTCTCCTTTACTCCGTCAGGTGCCTGCACTACGTCGGGTACCGCAGCTGATGTTGAAGCTCCTGCGGCCCCGGCAGAAAACATATCGGTTATTTTCATGCGTTTGGCGGCCTCCGTCTGAAGATTTTTTATTTTTTTTTCTGACCCGCAACGCAAGAAACAGAGAGCAGAGGGGGAGGGGGGGCTGGTAAGGCTGTGATTGGGTCAGCCCAGTGCAATTATAGAAAATTACCCAATGGGCCGCTGTCCGTGCTTTATGGGCCAGTCGTTGTTTAAACAGTTTAATTAATAAATAATTTACGTTACACCGGCCCACCGGTATGCCAGATTACCAGTCCACCCCTGGCTCACTCATGAGTTCAAGCGAGCACGTGCACGAGCGCACAGCTGGTAGCGGTCTTAAAGCCGCAACGCTAGTGGCCGCTGGAAACTCCATAATGCTCCTTTAACTCTGCTGCTGAACTGAGCGGTTAAACTCTGTCTTTCTTTCTGCCTCCACAGTCGGTGAAAGTGACGGCAGCTCAGTTGTTGGTCAAACAGGTCAGAGCGTCACTCTGTCCTGTAAATATGACATCAGCAAACACGGAGCGCAGCATGTCTGCTGGGGTCGAGGTGAATTAACTAATGCTCGCTGCAGCGACCTGCTCGTCTCCACTGACGGACATAAAGTGATAACCAGAGCTTCCAGCAGGTATCAGTTACTGGGACGACTGGAGGCAGGTGATGTTTCTCTGACCATACTGGACCTCACAGAGACGGATGCTGGACGGTACGGGTGCAGGGTGGAGATACCTGGATGGTTCAATGATGAGAAACATCACCTGGATCTGATCGTCGAGAGAGGTGAGACGCTTTTTAAAGGACATAAAAGATTTTTAAAGTTTGTGCAGCTTGAAAAAGGAAACTTGACAGACGGCATGTTGAAGCTTCAGAGATCCATAAACTCTGATTTAAATACAGAACAAAGTGTTCAACAGGTGGAGTCCAGCACAGCTAAGAGTGCTGTTGGTGGGGCCTATTTTGAATTTGAGTCTTCAGTCCATCAGGAATCAGGATCTATGTTGTTTGTCTTTAACTGCAGGACAGGTTGAGACGTCACTTCTTAATGTCTCCAAATGAATTCAGGAAGAAGCTGATTAAACAGGGTTAGAGAGAGACCAGAGGAGCTGCATAGAGATGAGAGCTGCTGTTCTGTCTATAAGAGGTCCAGAAACACAGAACAGTCACAGATGAAGCAGCTGCTGTTGGTTAAAAGAAACAAACCACAGTGACTCTTTTCACACCCAGCAGTCCACTCCTCCCTCCTGCCTGTTGAACAAAAGGAGTTCCTTCTGCTTTTCCTACTGAGCAGGAACTTCCTGTATTCTGTCTGTGTTCTGACCCCACAGCTCCTCTTCATACCTGCACAGGTAGATCAACGACCATCACGGCAACGACAGGAAGTGATGTCACAGACAACGAACCCACGCAGGTCACACGGGCTCCGGAGGTCAGTTATCTTATCACAAGTTTCACTTTAGTCTTTAGTTCCAGTAACCACAGAGTGAATTACATAACTGTATTTAAGGTTTTTCACTCGTCAAACCAAGAAACCCTCGTCATCACTTTGAGAACTCGTTCAGAACAAACAGGAAACACGAAAGAGTCACAACTGGTTCATTCAATTCAAACATTGTGAAATTTTCTTTACTGATATTTATTATGGTGTACTGGAAAATATATTTTGTGTGATAAACCCTTTGTGGAGGCTTCAGACCTGCAGGATGGACTTTTATGTCACAGCCAAACTTATTATAGCGTTTTATTTTTCATTAGTTTTTCTTTTTTTTAGTTTTTAAGTTTAGTTAGAATTAGTTTTTAAAGGAGATTTGCTGGTTTAGTTGAGTTTTTATTAGTGTCACTGTTAGTTTTAGTCTTTTTCGCTGCATGATATCAGGCGAGGGGCTGGAACTAAAACTGGCACAGCTAAGAAACTGGAAGATAGTGTTGGCCCCCGCTTGGAGGCCCCCTGTGTAACGTTGTAACATGTTCAGAGCACACACCAGTGAAAATGTGTGTGTGTTGACAGATGTGGAGCACAGCTGTCCAGCAGGTAAACAGTCTGCAGAGCTTTGTTGGAAACACACTGAGAGTCTCCTTCATCGTCTTCATACCTGCACTGCTGCTGATCACCTGTTACAGTCAGTACACACACACACACACACACACACACACACTCACACACACACACACACACACACTCACACACACACACACACACTCTCTCTCTCTCTCTCTCTGTAACATCAGCTGTTCTGTTCAGACATGATGGAGTTTTAGATTCTGTCGCCCTCAAGAGGCCAAATGAGATCATGACAACAGAAATATCAGGACAGCCTTTCTGTCACTTTTACTTTTTATCAACTGCACAGCTTTAAAGAAACGGATTCTCCTTCGTATTGGCTTCGCCCTCTAAGGCTATCGCTATTGGGTTTACCCCTCTGCGCGCCTACATGGCACTAAGAATTTTAGTCTGCGCCCACCCACAGCGTGGGCCTCCCTTACGTCCGCACCTTGTATATATAAAACCCCACGGCTGTACAGACGCAGGCGGGGTCACGACAGCAACCGCAGCAGCTGCGCACAAGGCAGGACCAGAGTAAGCAGGGCCCTGTCCTCCCCCCGCATGGGGTGATCGCCCGCGACCAAAAAGAGCTGGTAATGCACTTAGGCATAAACGCCGGGTTAGGGCGCAGAACAGGAATCTCAGGTCCGCCGTCTCCAAAGGCTCAAATGGGGCTTGGGCAACAGGCCAGTCCCCTGTCCATGAGCTACTGGAGGAACAAAAGCACCGCCGGCAGTGGACAGGCCACTTAGAGGAGTAAGGGGACTGAGTAAAGGCGGCTTTCGACCCCTGGATGGTGCAAACCACCTCACGGGAGAGACCTAGACCCTCCAGGCGTCGCCTCTCAGCGGCCAGACCCAGAGAGGCTGGCCAAGGAGCGGATAACTCCTGATCGCACCCCCCGCCTGAGAGAGGGCATCCCCCTCCAGGGAAGCTTCCACGGCTGCAAGACAGGGAAACCAGGACACGCTCGTGCGCTCTGGAGCCACCAGAATCACCGCTGAGGTTGAAAACTGCACGCGATCCAGAAGGCGCGGGATCAGGCGAATCGCCGGAAAAGCATACAGCAGTCGGGGAGGCCAAAGGGGGTGCGCAAAGCCGAAGCCCTGCAGAGACCCTCCAGAGGCCTCCTCATCTAGAACGGCAAAGTTATCCGCCCGGCGTTGACGCTCCTCGGGGGAGAGGAGAGCGCAGTACGGGCAGCGTGAGTGGGGGGTGAACGCCCGGCCGGTGTGCGCCTGACCGAGGCACGCCTCACATCGGCAGGATGAACCCCTCTTGCAGATGTCACACAGCCGGACGGACGTGGCATCGCCTCGCCGCGCTCTAGCCGGCAAGAAGAAAGACATCTTCGGGTTGCACTTCGCAGGTAGATCTTCCAGCTCTATAGACAGCTCAGTGCTGAAGAAAAATGGGAGCCGAAGGCCGGGTCTCGCCGTTGTATATATACAAGGTGCGGACGCAGGGGAGGCCACGCTGTGGGTGGGCGTAGACTTAAATTCTTAGTGCCTTACAGGTGCGCAGAAGGGTTAAACCCAGTAGCGATAGCCTTAGAGGGCGAAGCCCATACGAAATAGAACAGAAGGACAGTTATTTAAAAAGCATCACTGATTAATTTATTCATTTAAACGTCTGCAGGAGTTTGGAAGAGGAACCAGACTGACAGGAGGCTGAACCAATCAGAGGAGGAGGACACGCTGTAATGTTATGATTTGGGGGTTTTGTGCTTCCTGTTTTATTCTGCTATTCCTTTCCTGCTCTTGTGTTTTCCCGCTGGCTTGATAGTTTTACCTCCCCTGATTGATCCTAAACCCTTGACGCCACTTGTCACGAATTCGCATCATAGCTCTTTCTTGCAGACTGCAAGCCAAGATAGCACATGGATTCCCCCGATGCCTGTTGGTGCATACTCGATACGAACCTAGGAACCTTTTGCAAGCCCTGGTTTCTCGTTTATGCCTGTTGTCGATAATTTGCATCATACCTACACATACCTGAATTTATATCTTTTCTATGTTCTATAGACAAATTAACAGTCTTCACTTAATTTAACATCAGCTTGAAAGCAAATGAAAACACAAATAATTTTCATTATTTTTTGATTGTAATGTGTTCCAGCCTGTTCCCTGTGTTTCCTGTGTGCTCTGGATTTTATGCCTGTTTCTGGACTCAACAAAAATGAATACAGAAATTAAATAAACATTTAAACTATTAAATGCAAATACATGTAGGCATTTATTAAATTATACAGTGACACATAAATTAATATATGTTTTGAAGTTGCTTCTTTCTTTATTTACTTTTGTATTTTTTACCTTATTTATTTTCCTTTATAATTTCAATTTTCAGTTATTTTTTAAGTGTATTTATTTTTTAAGCATTTGTTTTAATATTATTGTCTGTCTCATTCTTTCTTTGCATTTTCTACCCTATTTATTTCCCCAATGTGATTTATTTCTTTCTCCCCTTTTTACATTTCTGTTTGCATTTCTGCCTCATTATGCCGATGATGGGGGCGGTGCCTCAAGGGCCCAACTTCTCACCTATTGGTTGACCAGTCAGACTGGATCCTGTGTGAAATGAAGCCATTAGTAGGTGCGTTCGAGATGACTGCAGCTGACTTTTGCCCACTTGATAGTCAAACGTGAGCTGCGGACCTGCAGAGGCGGGGAATAAAAACCCCTCCGGTAGACGGTGTGAGCTTAGAACAACGACTGATCGGTCAAAAGGTAAATGTAAATGCTTTGTATTTGAATGTGGTCTGTCAGGGACCAAGCAGTAAAGGCAGGGACACAAGGTCGAGGTTTCATAAAGTTTAGGCTTTATTTAGCCAACAAAATCAATATTACACAAAAAGGTATCAACAAAATTACTCAAAACGGGTCTTAACTAATCTGAGGTCACTGTAACAATATTACAACATAGTAGTTTGAACATAACAAACCTGACCTACTGAGTGACATAAATGGAGGGGTATGTACACACAGGCTAGCCAACACCAAACACAAATGGGGAAAAACTGAACTTACTACAATTAAAAAGACCCAAATAAACCCAACAACCAACCATAAGAAAATACTAACAAAACAACACTACTGAAACCCAATATTAATCTAACAAACAAAATATCCGCATGCTGCTGTGTTTAGGCTCAGCATGTGCAGAAACAAAGGACAGGTATAAATTACTAAACAATTCTACTCAAATGAATTCTAATATTAACCAAAATGCGTGCACGCAGATTGGAAATTTTAGCATCATTTGTGAAAAGAATAAACAAATCTAAAGAAAATGTGTTTGTGGTAGAAAAACAAAACCATTAGCACCACTCTTGGTGTTGGCGGGTGATGGGAGCGTCACATGGTCTTTATATAGCCTCTCAGATGTGCTGACACATGCTTGCAACCATGAGCGAGCTCACTGAAAAAAGGTTCAGTGGTTTGAGTTGCTTCCTGCGTGGTTCACGCCGAATAGAAGTATTTATCTGTATTTATGTGATCTGTGCCAAGTTGAAAGGAGTTAGTTAGCATGCAGAGACTGTGTGTCTGTGTGAAGCCTAACATCACTAACCAATGAGAGCTGTGGTTACATAACCTCACGTTAACAATGATCACAACAATAAAAACCACATCCATGTATGTTTACAAAAGTAAACAGTCCTGTGCTGAGCCAGGTTCCCAGGTCCCAGTACGTTACCATCTTTGTTGGACAGAACCAGGCGGTGAAGAACTGTTGAGCTGCAGTCTTTGCTTTGATACAGATGAGAGGGTCCAACCTCTCAGTCTGTTCTCCTCAGGCTCTGAAGTGAGACCTTGTGTCCTGTTTGAAATCCAGTCTAAGCTCGCAGCGCTGAGAGGCCGCTGCGCCGTCGAGACCGGCCGGTGTTCTCCGGAGGCCCGGAGCCAAAGAGGGAAGAGAGAGAACACAGACCTCGTGCTGCTGGTTTTATCAATCCGGTGTCTGAGGTCACAGGTCATTGACCAATCGAAGCTGCCGCTGGGTCGGGAGACTGACTTCACAAGACTTTAAGACTTTCTGGGGGGTTCCTGGGAAAGTTCAATGACTCGCATGATAAAAGTTAAGATCACATATGAACAACCTGACCTCTGTGAGGTCCCGGTGATCCCAACAGCTGACTCAGGGGTCTCAGCTCCCGCCAAAGAGACTGAAGGGCCAGTTTCTGTACAGCGAGGAGGGGAAATAGAGATGTGAAAACACGAGAGCCGATACACGTGTTACTCAGGCTGGAATAAAGATTTTACCTACAGCCTGACTCGCTGACACCATCGTCCATCTGCACTGTGAAGGACTAAAACAGAGAGCTGAAACACTTCAGTCCAAAGGTAACTGCTTCATTGTGGTGTCAGAGTGTCTCTCCTGCACCTGCTCAAACCTCAGGCTGCTGTGTCTCTTCAGTGGGTGTCTGTTTCTGCAGGCTTTTGTTTGTGGTCAAATACAAACGGAACTCTAAAGCTGAAACCTGAAAACCGTTTGTCACTTACTCGTGAACGCTTCTCTTCAGCGTGGATTCGTGCCGCCAACTCTCGCTGTGTTTCAGCTGCTTCAGTCTTTCAAGGTGTTCGATGTGGATCATGAAGACTGAGAGCAGGTTGGACTTGATGCTGCTGCTCGTTCTCCTCACAGGTACAGGTACTTTAACTTTATTTAAACTCAACGTTAAAGACATGGGTACATTATTAGATGAAGAGTAACAGCAGGTAAATCTGCTTCTGCTGTTACTGATAAATCTACAGGCTCTCTGGAGTTTGTATGCAGAATATCTTCTTTCAGCTTCTATCCACCCTGGAAGTAAAACATTTAAATAAAGAGCTTTAACTTTAACTCACGCACTACTCACTGTAAAGTGAGCTCGCCAGTTTGTAGTGCTGTCTGTATTGTGAGAATTTTTATATCTTAGCCCAGAATGCATTTTGAAAAGTAGTGTACAACCAATGGTCACTAACCAAGTCCCATCATGCATTGGGCTGATAGAGAAAACAGTCCACCAACTGACTGTCTGACAGCAATGACCAAATCAAAGTCGCTGAGATAAAGATCGGAGTCGTGTCCGAAGGTGTTTTTGTTGTGCGGGTGAGCTCGCTGTACGCTCCTCTACATACAGCTCGCCTGAGGAGTGAATCAGTGGTGATTTCAGACGCAGCCTCTGTCTTTCTTTCTGCCTCCACAGTCGGTGAAAGTGACGGCAGCTCAGTTGTTGGTCAAACAGGTCAGAGCGTCACTCTGTCCTGTAAATATGACATCAGCAAACATGGAGCGCAGCCAGCCTGCTGGGGTCGAGGTAAATTACCAACCTTAGGCTGCAGCGACCAGCTCGTCTCCACAGACGGACATAAAGTGAGAACCAGAGCTTCCAGCAGGTATCAGTTACTGGGACGACTGGAGGCAGGTGATGTTTCTCTGACCATACTGGACCTCACAGAGACGGATGCTGGACGGTACGGGTGCAGGGTGAGGGTACAGGGACCGTTCAATGATAACAAACATCACTTGGATCTGATCGTCGAGAGAGGTGAGACGCTGTTTAAAAGATGTCATTTTTTAATGTTTGTGGGGTTTGAAAAAGGACACGTGACAGACGGCATGTTGAAGCTTCAGAGATCTGATTTAATCTGAGCTCTCTGTGTTCTGATCCCACAGCTCCTCTTCATACCAGCACAGTCAGATCAACGACCATCTCAGCACTGACAGGAAGTGATGTCACAGAAAGCGAACCCACGGAGGTCACACGGGCTCCGGAGGTCACACAGGCTCCGGAGGTCACACAGGCTCCGGAGGTCAGTTATCTCATCACAAGTTTCATTTTAGTCTTTAGTTCCACTAACCACAGAGTGAATTACATAACTGTATATGGGTGGGGGTGGAGCAGTGGATAAGACGCCTGCTTTTGGTGTGAGAGACCCGGGTTCAATTCCCCACTGTGACACAGGAAACACAAAAGAGTTTATTCTCTACCCATATTTGATTTGTTTACATGGTGTAATGGAAAACAAGCCTAATTTAAGCTGATTCACTTCTCTGTAAATGTTAAAGTGCCTGACAAGTGTTGAACGCTTTGTCTGGTTTTGGTTCCTGTGCACGCCACCTTAGGGAAGTGCAGGGAGGCCAGGGCTGCAGGGTAAACAACAACCTGTGGTTAAGACCTGCAGGATGCTGTTTCTATCAGCGTGACAGCCCTCCACTACGTTCTCACGTGGTGTATAAGATGGTAAATGGTCTGTCAGAGCAAAGTGTCTCCAGCTCAGTGAGTCCAGGTATTTTCACTAAGCTGGAACCAAACGTTGAAACTCAACATTAATCGATAACTATGGGATTATTATTTGGGTTACATTGATGGATATTGATTATATTGTGATTTAATTCAATTTCATTTATATAGCGCCAAATCACAACAACAGTTATCTCACAGCGCTTTTCATAAAGAGCAGGTCTAGACCGAACTCTGTGATGATATTTACAGAAGCCCAACAGTTCCCACCAAGAGCAGCACTAGGCGACAGAGGCAAGGAAAAACTTCCTTTAAGAGGCAGAAACCTCGAGCAGAACCATGGCTCAGGGTGGGCGGCCATCTGCCTCGACCGGTTGGGGTGAAGGAGAGAGAGAGAGAGAGAGAGAGGGGAGGGAGGCAGCCTACACAATATCCACACAGAGGTACAGACAGTAAAGGTGATGTTGCTATAGACTAAATGAAAAATGGTACAGATATTTATAATAGTGTTAATGGTAACCATCGTAATGTTAATGATTATAATAACAATAATAACAATAAGACTAGCAACAATAGTCGTTGCAGCAGAGGTTGTCGAGCAGGAACACAGGGGCAGCAGGTGACCCGCAGCCACAGATCCAGACTCCACAGCTCCAGAGCCAGAAAACCTGCAGGAAGTGATAGGAGAGAGGAGAGAGACGAGAAAGCACAAGACTACGGGAAAGGGGAGAAGTTGTGTTAGTAACATGCAATAATGGGATGAGGTTGCATACAGAGGGAGAGAAAGTAGAGGAGAGAGGAGCTCAGTGCATCATGGGAAATCCCCCGGCAGTCTAGGCCTATAGCAGCATAACTAAGGGATGGTTCAGGACTCACCTGAGCCAGCCCTAACTATAAGCTTTATCAAAGAGGAAAGTCTTAAGCCTACTCTTAAATGTGGAGATGGTGTCTGCCTCCTGAACCCAAACTGGAACCTGGTTCCACAGGAGAGGAGCTTGATAGCTGAACGCTCTGGCTCCTAGTCTACTTTTGGAGACTCTAGGAACCACAAGTAACCCTGCATTCTGGGAGCGCAGTGCTCTGGTGGGGTAGTAAGGTACTATGAGCTCTTTAAGATAAGATGGTGCCTGACCATTAAGAGCTTTGTAGGTAAGAAGAATGATTTTAAATTCTATTCTGGATTTTACTGGAAGCCAATGCAGAGAAGCTAAAACAGGAGAAATGTGATCTCTTTTCCTGGTTCCTGTCAGAACACGTGCTGCAGCATTCTGGATCAGCTGAAGAGTCTTAACGGACTTTTTCGAGCAGCCTGATAATAAGGAATTGCAGTAATCCAGCCTAGAAGTCACAAATGCACGGACTAGTTTTTCTGCATCATTTTAAGACAGGATGTTCCTGATTTTCGCAATATTACGTAGGTGAAAAAAGGCGGTCCTTGAAATTTGCTTAATGTGAGACTTAAACGACTTGTCCTGATTAACGTCACACCTTTCAGCTGTTTTAATGTTTAATGTGTTGACAGATGTGGATCACAGCTGTCCAGCAGCAGCGGGTAAACAGTCTGCAGAGCCTCGTTGGAAACACAGTGAGAGTCTCCTTCATCGTCTTCATACCTGCAGTGCTGCTGATCACCTGTTACAGTCAGTACACATCTCATTGATATAATGAATTCCCTTATCCAGGGGTTTTCAAAGAGTGAGGCGGGCCTCCCTAGGGGGGCTCCAAACTGTTTCAGGGGAGGCTTATTGCATTAGTAATCATAAGAAGATCACATAGAACAGCCTACATGTGTGAGAGTTCAGAGATACAGTAGTTTTTGGGAACAGTTTCCCCCCATCAGTCAAAAACTAATCAGTTCCTCAGGACAGAGTTTTTTTAAACTATTCGGTGCAGTCAGACGTTATGTCAAACAGCATTATTAGGCTATTTTGGCTCAAATGTTGAGAGTCTATGAGATCAGATAATGTACTCATGATCCCAGAGGCATCCAGGAATTGAGTGAAACTGACCAAGTAAACTGAAGATGTGGTGGGGGGGGCGCCGTTTGCCAAGCTTTGTCTGAGGGGAGGCCCACAGGCTCAGACTTTGAAAACCCCTGCCCTAAACCTTAACCATCACAACTACCTGCGTAACCTCAACCTGATTCTAACATGAACCCTAAAACCAGGTCTTCACCCTCAAACAGCTCTTTAAACGTGTGGGGTCCAAAATTTTGCAGCAAATCCTGGTTTTTAGACCCCACGAACATATTAAACCAAAAACACGTCTGGGGCGGCTGATCTGACAGCTTTTTGCGACTGCTTACACAAACTCTTCACACATCACATCATTTCTGAAACCTCTCACTCAACGAGCAGAACTACAAACCAAACCTGCGAAAGCAGAAGCTGTTTCAGGTCACCTGTTCAGAGCGATGGAGGCAGAGGGGTGACAACGAGGAGGAAGAGTTGCAGGGGAGGAACTAAGGAGACATAGATTTGAAACTGTGGTCAAGCAGTTCTAAAAGACAAACATCAGCTGTTCTGTTCAGACATGATGGAGCTTTAGATTCTGTCGCCCTCAAGAGGCCAAATGAGCCCTCAAGAGGCCAAATGAGATCATTACAACACAAATAATTACACAAATACAAATAACTGCACAGCTTAAAGAAACAGAAGGACAGTTATTTACACAAGTATCACTTATTGATTTATTCATTTAAATGTCTGCAGGAGTTTGGAGGAGGAACCAGACTGACAGGAGGCTGAACCAATCAGAGGAGGAGGACACAGAGAGTCTTTATTGGTGTTAAAGCTTTTTATTTTAAATTAAAGTTGTTCTCAGTAAGTGAAAATAAAACTATCCAATGTTTTTTCTCAGTATCAATGTGGTGATGAAATGAATTAGAGTGGGAGTGAGCAGCGTGCTCTGGTCCAAGGCACGCCTTGCAGTGGAGATGGAGGTAATACAGCCCGTGTGGCTGACGGCGCACATCCATACAGATGTAGCGGCGTCTCGCCCCGTTCTGGCCAGTTTGCTGGAAGACATTATTCTTCTTGTTTCCCGGCTGGAATCTTCTGCTCCTTAGAAAGCTCAGTGCTGAAGAATAATGGGAGCCGAAAGCCACGTCTCACCATTGTGTATATACTGTATACAACACTGCTGGTGGGCGTAAACGAGCTTTTTTCAGTGCTGCGCATGCACGAACAGAGGTAAACCAAATAGCGAAGCCTACACGAAGTAGAACAAACAAATGGTTAACAGGACTTTTATCTAGATCTGGTTGAGTCCTTAGGGCCTCCTTCATGATGGACTCTATCTCCCAGGAAATGCCATCATGCACGTGGGAGGGAGGATAGTGTCCAAGCTGGGGGTGAAAATTTACTTTTTGGCTCACCTGCCAAAGGGACTGATAGATGGAAAAATCCACCAGCCAAACACATTTTTTACTGGCCAGAATAATAACTTGCCTTTTTATGTCCAGTAAACATTTTTTTCAGTACTTTTAATTGAGATAATAAGATATTCTGTTGAATACAAACTTAAAGAAGACACGAGATTGAAATTTGAAACAAAATTAATTTATTGCTATTAAATGCACTTAAGACATAACAGTAAACTGTTCTGGTTCGCACGTATCTATTTTAGGGGCAAATGCATGTGAAATACTCTGTTTAGCAACGCATCATCCGTCCTGAACCCGTCACGCTGCTTTTCTTCTTATTGTTTTATTTGACTTCCCTTCACTGTTACAGAGCTGTTCTACATGCTGCTACTTTAGTACTTTAGTAGACTTTGCCAGGGAGGCTGAGATGCCCCTGTAATTGGCACACACTCTCTGGTCCCCCTTTTTGAACAGGGGAACCACCACCCCAGTCTGCCGCTCCGTGGGCACTGTACCCGACTTCCACGCAATGTTAAAGAGACGTGTCATCCAAGACAGCCCGTCCACACCCAAAGCTTTTAGCATTTCTGGGCGGATCTTATCAATCCCTGGGGCTTTGTGGAGCTGTTTGACTACCTCAGTGACTTCCTCCAGGGAAATTGATGAGAATCCCCCATCAGCCTCCAGCTCTGCCTCTACTAAAGAGGGCGTATCAGTCGGATTTAGGAGTTCCTCAAATTGTTCCTTCCACCGCCCAATTACCTCCCCAGTTGAGGTCAAAAGGGTCCCATCCTTACTGTACACAGCTTGGACGGTTCCCCGCTTCCCCCTCCTGAGATGGCGGACAGTTCTCCAGAAGCACTTTGGTGCCGACCAAAAGTCCTTCTCCATGTCTTCTCCGAACTTCTCGCACACCCGCTGCTTCGCATCTGCCACAGCAGAGGCTGCAGCCCTTCGGGCCGTCGGTACCTTACCACCGCCTCCGGAGTCCTCCGAGTCCCGGAAGGCCTCCTTCCAGTTCCGGCTCCTTCTCCCCAGAGCCAGCTTCTGCCGCCAGGGTCTGGTCCGTCGAGGCCCCTGACCTTCACTGCCACCCATATGGCAGCGCACCCGACCCCTGCGGATCTTCCGATGGATGGTGGGTCCAAAGGATGGAGAGGGGGTGCCACATTGCTTTTTCGGGCTGTGCTCGCCGGTGAACCCTTCCTCCTGGCAGGGTCTCTCCTCCTCTTCCTCGTTGTTTCATCAGGCGTCTTTATGCCCAGTTAATCATTTACATTTATTCATTTAGCTGACGCTTTATCCAAAGCGACTTACAATTGCTGTTCATGTCAGAGGTCGCATGCATCTGGATCAACTACGGGTCAAGTGTCTTGCTCAGGGACACATTGGTGAATGTGTCACAGTGGGAATTGAACCAGGGTCTCTCACACTGCGACATCACCACTGCCGGTCCTGCCAGACCAACTACCCCGCAACATCAGTTCCACCGGCTTCATGTGCACCCAAATCTAGGCTAATGTAGGCTCTAAACTAAACTAAAGACATTTACTCTCATTTTAGTTTATTTTAGTTAGTTTTGCAAACTGACAACACAGTTTCAGTTAGTTACTGTTTGTAAAGCCTCTTTTTTTATTTCAGTTAATAAACATGTTTTTTCACATCTTGTTTTTGTTATTTCATTTGTTTTTGTTAAAAAAAAACCTTGGTGTAGCCTTTATCCAGAACCATCTATAAATCTACCTGGTCTCATCGGATTCTTCCTACCAAACGTACTTTAGATAAAGACTCAGCATGAGAGCTGCTACTTTCTCATATTGTCAGAGGACGATGAAGCTAAATTTAGCCTGTTTCTTGTGTGTAGGAGTGATTTTAACATGAACCTTTCAATTGTTTTAACATTTAATTTGTGACGTGTGTCAGAACACACACCTGTGAAAATGTGTGTGTGTTGACAGATGTGGAGCACAGCTGTCCAGCAGCAGATAAACAGTCTGCAGAGCTTCATTGTGAGTCTTCATCCTCATCATAACTGCACTGCTGCTGACTGCTGCTTACAGTCAGCACACACACACACACACACACACACACACACACACACACACACACACACACACACACACACACACACACACACACACACACACACACACACACTCTGTAACATCAGCTTTTCTGTTCAGACATGATGGAGTTTTAGATTCTGTCGCCCTCAAGAGGCCAAATGAGATCATTACAACACAAATATCAGGACAGCCTCTCTGTCACTTTTACTTTTTATCAACTGCACAGCTTTAAAGGTCCAGTCTGTAATATTTCTGAGGGTCTATTGACAGAAATGCAATTTAATCCATAACTATGTTTTCAGTGGTGTATAAAGACCTTAGATAATGAACCGTTATGTTTTTATTACCTTAGAATGAGACATTTCTATCTACAGACACCGCGGGTCCCCCTTACCTGTTGCGCCGCCATGTTTTTACAGTAGCCCAAACGGACAAATGGCGCTACAGAGAGCGTTTCATCACTAGCAGTAGTTGTCATCTAGTTTCTTAGAAGTAAGAAAAGGAGGACGACACATATTATTTAGACGTAGCTTCTCCTGTTTGCTTGCAAAGGGAGGGGTGAGTGGTGACTGATGGTGCATTCATCCATATTGTTGGATGTCACTAAAACTTACAGGAAATAGAAATACAGGTCATTTAAAAAGCTTCATGTAGTTATTCATTTAAATGTGGAGGTGTATCCAGACAACAGATTGACAGGAGGCTGAACCAATCAGAGGAGGACAGAGAGAGTCTTTATTGTTGTTAAAGCATTTTTGTAGGAAATGTTTCATGTGCTTAAATCAAAGTTGTTCTCAGTAAATAAAATAAAGCCGTTTGTTTTTGTAAAAGTAAAAATCCATTGTTTATTTCTCAAAATCAATGTGGTGATAAAAGTTATTTCTTAATCTGCAGAAAGAAATGTTTCAACTACAGTATCTGAAGGACTGCAAGATGTTCTGCTTCACCTGAGCTGTCTGAAACCAGTTCAGTGTGTGAAACCAGTTAACAACACGGACATTTTACTTTGAAGGCGAGCTGTCTTTGTTTCCATGTTCAATTTCCATTGTCCAAGTTGATGCGCTAACAGTGTTTAGACAGCGTCGGCTCTGGAAAACTCACAAAATGTGAATAACTGCAGATTAACAATACTTCACGTACGGACCCTGATGTGAGCAACATTTTTGAACAGAGAAAACAGTTTTCTCAAACAAAGTCGTAATGTTTTGAGATACAGAGGTTAAATACGAGTACGAGTTTAACAGCAAACTAGACCAGAATTATTGTCTGTGTTTGAAACACAAATATAACTCTGTAAATAATTATAAATGATGAAACAAAAGTCTTATATTATATTTTTATTTCTCATATTGGCAGAAAAACAGATAGCACTAACCAGAGGTGATGATGAATGAGACTCATGTAAAGGAAGCTTTTTCTTGACCTCGTCATCAGAAACAGTGAAGAAACATACAAACACGTATAAAACACATGAACCCGTTGGACGGGAGGATCCCTGACCACAAACACCGTCTCTCACAGCGGCCAATCAGAGAGCTGAACATAAAGACTCTCTGGGGTGAGATTCAGATCATAAAACATATTATTTATATATAACATATTATCCCAATAATTAGTTTCCCAGCATCAGGTGCATGGTCCTGATGGCCCTGCTGCATGATGGGAGACTCAGTGGTGTCCAGAGGCCAGCATGTCCCAGAGGCAGCAGCAGCACAGAGCGGCCAAACACGCCGTCAGACACGATCCTTTACCGCCGACATTGCTGTGGCCACGATCCTGCCCGACCATGAACACTGAGGGGGGATGGGTCAAAGTTCAAGGAGCAATGTCACGACGAAGTAATTTGTTGTAACTGTAAGAATACTGCATGCAGCAGAATGTACTTTGTTGTAAGTAAAGTAAGTAAAAAGAAATATTCTGCACCCTTTGACCCACCTGTCTGTTTTGGCGTTTCTCCGTAAATGTTTGGGCCGCCCCAGGGGTGGGTGGTCTGGCTCTGGTGCCCCTGGTACCCGGGCTGAGGCAGGTAGGGCCCCGGGGGTCCCACTGGCCCCAGTGGCCCGTGGTAGTAGGCGTGGTCTCCTTCACCTGTGTTAGCCTGGGGGAAGGTCTGCAGAGGAGATGTGATGGTCACGTGACACAGGTGCAAAAGGTTATTAACTGAAAGCTTTAAAGAACAAACTGAAGAGTAAGTAAGAAGCCTGCTGCTGCGCCACCACCAGGACAAGTTCGTCTACAGCAGAACCATGCTCTGTGCTTCGTGAGAAATAAAAATGTACGAGAACAGAACTGCAGCCACCGCCAAGGACACCGAGGTAACACTAACCACCTCAAATAGATTTGATATATTTGGATTTGTTAGTTGCAGCGACATGTTGGAGTTTACATTTGACATTTTTTAGAAACAAATAACTGAAGAACTGCGGCT